TCACTCGTCATGCCGAAGACCCAGGTTCGATTCCTGACATGGATACAATGTGTGAAGCCCATTTCTGGTGTCCCCCGCCGTGATATTGCTGGAATATTGCTAAAAGTGGTGTAAAACCATACTTACTCACTACAGTGGTAACTTTGTAGGACTGTTGATACACTACATTATCTGTTCTCATATTGTGCTACAGTGGTAACATTTGCATCCATTTGATTTGTATGGGTGGGGGGATTTCTTTTTAGAACAATATATTTTTTTCCAGGTGTATCCAACAAACTATTTATGTACCGAGCACCATCAAACAATTTATTCAAATTCACTTTTAACACACAAAAATTGATGTTATTTTCCTCTAAACCAAAAATTCATTTTTTTCACCAATGCTATATATTCAACACCCCCCTAGAAATCAAATGTATGACGGATGCCATGGGTGTCATCACCATGGAATTAGTTCACTGCTTCGCACAACACTAGGGGTAGCACAACACTAGGGGTAGCACAACACTAGGGGAACAACACTAGGGGTATCGCAGCAGTAAATGTGACGGTGCTGGCGTACTCCGTAAATGGCAAGTTGCAACAATATGATGTGCTGACATTGTGTCAGACTGTGGTGTTAGCTACATAATAATGTGAAATTATCTTTTGTTATAGGTGTGAAATAGATGAAAAATACATTTACATTAAAAATACATATAGAAATATATATATATGGTAAGTGATTAAGGAAAAACTAAAAGATTAATTTGGTGGCGTATAACAAATGTAATTTTTATGTAGGTTTGATATGTAAGTAAATAGATGTAGCAAGTCAGAATTATAACTCTTTAAAGGTTTGTTAAACAAATAGATATAGAATATACATAAAAATATGGTGACATGTGGACAAGCTGATCAATTGGATATTGTCATCGAAACATCATTTTATTCTGTTTAGCTTGAGCGCTTTTGTTTTGGAGGAGAATTGATATGAAATAGTCACACAACGTGTTACATGGTATATAACATGGTATATAACATCAAGATCACATTGTATATAACATCTTGATGTACATAACATCATCATGTATATGATCATGATCACATTGTACATAACATCCCGATGTGTACAAGATCATGATCACATTGTATATAACATATTTATGTATATAACATCATGATCACATTGTATATTTCATCCTAATGTGTACAAGATCATGATCACATTGTATATAACATGATCACATTGTATATAACATATTTATGTATATAACATCATGATCACATTATATATAACATCCTGATGTGTACAAGATCATGATCACATTGTATATAACATGATCACATTGTATATTTTACATGATCACATTGTACATAACATCACAGCAACCATCTCACCCAATACATAACATTATAATGACCATCTCACCTGGCTGACGGTAATATTTTGCATGGATTTGAATTTGTTCAGTTTATTATGTATCAAACGGGCTAAAGAAGAGGTTGTTTTCTGAGTAAACGTAAGTCCGGGAATGAGAAATATTGTGACAGGTGATACTGTGCACTGTAGGAGACCGTATCTCCACCCCTCCACTGAGACAGATTCAGCCAGAACAAATTTGTTAAATTGATCTGACTGTGCTGCAGCAGTGGCCCCGAGTCCTGGGTGTGCATGTATGTATACACGCTGCTGCCTCTGCAGCTCCATCAGTGCATGCTGGGAACAGTCACAAACGGGCAACAGAAGCAAAGCTGCTTAGCTTCTAGTAGTCACAACTGCCAGCCTGGCCTCACCGAGTTGTCTGCTTTATATCGGAACGTGTATCGTTTCAGACAATTACGGCTTCATCCCACAATATTTGGTCGTGCTAAGGGATTTGTTACATGTATATTGCCCCATGCTTGTCTTAATGCAGTTGTGTTTGCCTGAGGAGATTGGAGATACTTACAAGTTTAATCGTCTCTATGTGAATCTGTTACCATGTCTTCTTGTCCTTTCACCTTAAGTTAGAAGGATTTTTTTCCTTGATGGACGATATTCCACTTCCGATGTTTCATATATGTCAAGGCTGATTTGCCAAAAATGTCTGATATGTCATTTAAATGAGAAATAAGGCCAAATATGACGAAATTACGCTGTTGTAAACTATTTACAATGGAGATCCTCCAGGCAATGGAGGAACCTTGAAACCTAATTATCAATGTGTGAGGTTTGCCTGCCTTGGCTTCAAGTTGGGGCTGAAACTGTTTCACTGAAAGCTTCCATCTTGAAGATTACTTACGTATCTTGTTAAAACAAAAAATGTTCTCCTGGGATGAGATATTTCTGTGGTAAACACAAAAGAACAAATTTTCACTTACACTGATAAGAAATGACGGAGGGGAAAAAGTACATTAAAACTATTTTTTGGTGAGTTTGTCGTACATTGTGTGACGTTAATTGTGTGTTCTGTGGCCGTCTGATAGCAGCCCCTTCGTCGGCAACTCACTGATGCTGCTGCTGACACTGATGAAGCTCTCGGCTGTCTTGTATCAGGACGCTTGGGGTGGCCCAGTAGATAGGGTGTTCTCCTTCCTTAGATAAACAGGTTTGATGCCCCAGAGAATTAATAATTGATGAAGACTATTCTGTGTTCTGCAGTGTGTGTACTTAGACTGAGGAATGATACCCCATTCCACTGACATCAGCAGGAGATGCCTAATATGGTGTGTCACCTGAGATGCCTAATGTGGTGTGTCACATGAGATGCCTTATATGGTGTGTCACATGAGATGCCTAATATGGTGTCACATGATATGCCTAATGTGGTGTCACATGAGATGCCTAATATGGTGTGTCACATGAGATGCATAATATGGTGCCACATGAGATGCCTAATATGGTGTCACATGAGATGCATAATATGGTGTGTCACATGAGATGCTTAATATGGTGTGTCACAAGAGATGCATACTATGGTGTCACATGAGATGCCTTATATGGTGTGTCACATGAGATGCCCCACATGGTGTGTCACATGAGATGCCTTATATGGTGTGTCACATGAGATGCCTAATATGGTGTGTCACATGAGACAAATAGCCGGAATATGCACAGCAGCCTGTAAAATGGCTCACTTCTGTCATTTTTGTGAAAACAGTGGAATCGTTTAATATTTTTTGTAAATATTTGTTACCTTTGTTCGTAGCATGACATATGATTCCCCTTAATATCCCCCCAGTTTGGAGCAGAACTCCAAAACTGTTAAATATCCTTATGTGAAATATTTGTTGTTTAAACTTGCTAAATAGATCAGTCTAGTGCTGAACTGGTGTCTTTTGATGATTTGGAATTTTTATTTCATTTATGTAATTTTTTCATGAGGACAAGTTGGACTGAAAATGAGGGTAGTGCTAGTTTCCAGAGCAGAAAAACTAAAAAATAGGACAGATCAAGTGTACAGCCCATGTGAATGATTCAGTTAGGGTGTCTGAGTGTATAACAGGGGTTAGGGTGTCTGAGTGTATAACAGGGGTTAGGGTGTCTGAGTGTATAACAGGGGTTAGGGTGTCTGAGTGTATAACAGGGGTTAGGGTGTCTGAGTGTATAACAGGGGTTAGGGTGTCTGAGTGTATAACAGGGGTTAGGGTGTCTGAGTGTATAACAGGGTTTAGGGTGTCTGAGTGTATAACAGGGGTTAGGGTGTCTGAGTGTATAACAGGGGTTAGGGTGTCTGTGTGTGTGACTGGGTTAGGGTGTCTGTGCATGACTATCTGTGGGATAGGTTCATGTGGGAAGCCCTTCATCCTTTTGAGTCTCTGGTTTGTACAGAAACACACTTGGGGTTGATTGATGGTTAGCCCTTGTAGATTCGTCTTCATCTGGTGAATATATTCTGTCAGCTCGGAGGTTTTTGTAATTGATAATGAAACGTAATATCATGTACCTTTTCTATGTGTAAGTTCCCCCTCACAAACGTTGTGATGACAGGTCACATGACTGACATGCTTTGATGTATGAGTTGGGCAGAACACCTGTAGCACGACTAGATTACTCGTTAGATAACACAGGTAAGCAAACAGTAGGTTGTAATGGCAAGATCAAAGATATACCAGCACAGGCATGGGCGATGACACCCCTGATTGTCTCCCCTTGTACAGGGAGGTGACGGAGCCTCATTTCAGTCGACTTCAACAGGATGCTTTTCCAACATGACACGACCGAAGGGACATTTGAAACCTGATAATTATGTCTGTGGAAAGCATTTTAGCTTCAGTGTTTGTGTGTCGTGTTGGAGTAGTATTAGCTTGATTTGTAGATCGCTTGTATAATGGGGAAATAGGAAGCATATATATCGTTGTCAGTTGATGGAGAATGGAGGATGAGAAATTCAATAGAGATGCAAACAGATACCGGGACAATGGTGTGATTTGTTTGGCGACATGATAGATCTATGAACACATTCGAAACACGTACCACAATCACCTGCCATAAACATGTCAGCTGCTGTTTTAGAAGGGGTGTACAAGAACCCAGTTTCACAACAGAAAGCATAGCTCAGTGGTGGACTCTTAGCATATCCATCCCCACATGTCTACTTTCAACCCTGTTTAGTGATGTTCTGTTTACTGACCCTGTTTACTCATGATGTGTTTACTGATGTTGTTTGCAGTTCAGTTTAGTGATATTATGTTTACTCATGTTGTTTACAGTTGTTTAGTGGGGGCACAGGTGGCCCAGTTGTCTAAGGCCCTGCGATTCACTGTGCAGAGTTGCGTCCCTTAGCACGCCAGGAACCTATGATTGTGGGTTCAAATCCAATTATGTCTCTAGGTTTGTCAGCACCGTACCCATGCCCGTGGGTTTCACTGAAGTGGTAAACGTCTGAGACCTGCATCACTTCGGGCTTTCCTACCACATTATATATATTCTGTCATATGACTAATACTGTTAAAAGCGGCGTTAAACCCAACTCACTCACTCACTACAGTTGTTTAGTGATGTCCTGTTAACTGATGTTCTGTTTTGTTTCCAGGCTGACCTGGTGGAGTATTACTACTTCTGGAAGAAAACACCATCTGCAGCATCAAACCGACCTCATCGGCGACATCGCCGCTCCGGACTGAAACGCCAGACCACGCGGTCCACCAGCCAGCCCAGCGGCGACTACTGTGAGTGGCTACAGTTACTGTTGTTGTTGATGATGTTGCTGTTGATGGTGTTGGTGCAGGGAGTGATCCATACATGTTTGGATGTATATTCCAGAAGTCCAATAGTTCACCTGTGCCAGGAACCACTAGCTGTAGTCTTTCATAACCATCTTGGCCTCAATATGAGTCTTGATCTAGCGACACCATTCCTCTGTGTGTGGGTGACGCTCAGTGGTTCACATCTCAGACATGTCCTCTCTGGTTATGATGTAACTGACATGAGCAGCAATAGGTGCAACTCTCACTCACTCACTCACTCACTCACTCACTCACTCACTCACTCACTCACTCACTCACCCACCCGACCACCCTCCCACACTCACACTCACTCACTGACTCACTCACCCGACCTACCTCACACTCACTCACTCACTGACTCACTCACTCACTGACTCACTCACTCACTCACCCGACCACCCTCCCACACTCACGCTCACTCACCCGACCACCCTCACACTCACTCACTCACTCACACTCACTCACTCACCCGACCACCCTCCCACACTCTCACTCACTGACTAACTCACTCACTCACCCGACCACCCTCCCACACTCTCACTCACTGACTAACTCACCCGACCACCCTCACACTCGCTCACTCACTCACTCACTCACTCACTCAGCGTGATGAGCAAACATAAGGCTACCCCACTGCCCCTATCAGGGTATGAACATGATTGCAGTTGTTGAATTGTTTCTTTAATTATTGTTAATAACGATACAGCGAGGTCATGGTACACAGATTGCGATACGTATATTTACGTCAAATCACGTGGAAACTTCTTGATTACAGATATTTTAGAGCAGGTTCAGAAGGGAAAGCTTGCTGTAGACACATGTTCATTGCGGTTATTTTTATTTGACTTACCAAAAAGCTGGGTGTCATTAAACGAGGAGTAAGTAATTTATTTGAGCAAGTGTATCAGTTTGTTTTGATGCAGAAAAAAATGTATCGTGTATCTTATCGTAGCACGGTTGACTGAGATATATCATTTCACCCCTATTGTTTATTGTGCAAGCAATGAGTTCATGAATAATAAGATACTCCCTTGGACTTCATCTCCCTGTCAGTGTGGGGAGCAGTGTGGACAGGCCCAGGTCAAGGTCAATACTGGTGGTGTCTTGCAGTGAACTTGTCTTACTGAAACTGGAATAATCTCCAGCTGCAAGCTGCCCCAGTCCACATCAGGCTTGCCTGATATCTGATACCATTGATTAGTTGGGAGGGAAATAGTCTGTAGCATCACTGCCTTTCATGTGTGGACAGAAGAAGTGATTGACAGCCTGTCAGGTTCAGGTCGGGTCAGGGGTTGGAGGTCAGGGGTCACTGGGTCAGATCCCAGAAGTGGTAATGATATGTCGCCCTGAATCATCATTAAGCAGGTAACTATGGCAACCCCTTACTTCAAGAACAATCTCCGTTTTGAAACAGAGATCTGTTTCTTTGGCAAGTAAGACTAGTGGTGTGTAGTGTGGCTCTTGGATTCTCCCGTGTGAGTGGAGTGTTTATGAATAACCCCCAACGCATGTTTTCCACCACCTCTGCTCTCAGCATCATCGATCAATCATCTGTACTCTTCACTCGAGTCGCAACCCTGCCACTGAAGTCGGCTTTGTCTTGCCAAGCTTAATAGCAAACACAATCGCTATACCAGCCTCCCATTTGCTGCTTTGTTTGATTTGACACGCTGCATCAGCTTGCAAGGAGTCTTGTGATTGGTTGATTGTTCCGGTTGTGAGAAAGACAAGTTACCAGCGAGTGACACAGCAAGTAAACAGACCCATCTGGTACTGCAGTGCAGGGCCTAGCGGCTTGTTTAGATTCATTTGGCTGGGGCGACATCCCGAACCCATGTGTTTGATGGGCTGCCGCCAGGTAAACACACACAGTTTACCCTCAATGCGCGGGATCCCTATACTAATGTCCTAGAGAAACAAGACTTGACAAGACAAGCAACTCAATCCATGTTACCTTGTTACAGAGAATACCTTCTTGTGAATACGGTGTCTCTTGTCAACAGGCCCTTGTCACATGCAATACACTCTTCTTGCCTTCAGACTCACCATTGGTTAATACCTGGTCGTGGGTGAACTAAACACAGGCAGATCTTGTCTTGACTCCTACAGTTTAATACCTGGTCATAGATGACCTAAACACAGGCAGATCTTGTGTCTAGACTCCTACGGATTAATACCTGGTCGTGGATGAGCTAACACAGGGACTGTGTTTCCAGGCTCCTACATTTTAATACCTGGTCGTGGATGAACTAAATACAGGCTCTTCTTCCCGTGACCTTTGACACTTTCCTCCTTGCAGGTCCCTGTTGTCAGGGCAAGCAGGGCAGAAAGTTGCTATGGAGACCACATGACAAATAATTCTCACTCAAACTCACATCTGTATTTGAAAGCCAAACCAGTAAAATTACTGATGCGGATAATCTATGGTTCTTGTGGTGGTTGATGTGGGAAGCTGGTGTCAGTCCTAGTGGTCTACAACACACTCTCTATATTGTGGACCCTGTGCAGAGTGGTCATGAAGCTAAACCCTAAAACAAACACTCCTTATTGTGGACCCTGTGCACTGTGGTCACATTAATAGAGCTTAATGCCCCCAAACAACCTCTCTGTATTATGACCCTGTGCAGAGAGATCACTCAGAGCTATGCCCTAAAACAAACACTCCTTATTGTGGACCCTGTGCACTGTGGTCACATTAATAGAGCTTAATGCCCCAAAACAACCTCTCTGTATTATGACCCTGTGCAGAGAGATCACTCAGAGCTATGCCCTAAAACAAACACTCCTTATTGTGGACCTTGTGCGCAGTGGTCACAGAGCTTAGTCCTAAAACAAACACTCCTTATTGTGGACCCTGTGCGCAGTGGTCACAGAGCTTAGTCCTAAAACAAACACTCCTTATTGTGGACCCTGTGCACAGTGGTCACGGAGCTGAGCCCTAAACCAAACACTCTATATCATGAACCTGTGCAGAGTGGATTGTGGATCCCGTGGACAGTGATCACTGAACTATGTCCTTTAACAAACACTCTAAAGTGTGGACCCTTGAAAAAGTTGATAGTTTATTATGACTACTTCATAGTGTGGTCGACCAGAAGAACAACTATAAGGTGGGATTCGACCCATGAAGATCCAGGTTAGAATAGGTCTTCAGCAAACCATGCTTGCCGTAAAATGCAACTATGCTTGTCATAAGAGGCGACTTATGGGATCGGGTGGTCAGGCTTGCTGACTTGGTTGATGTATGTCATCATTTCCCAATTGCATGGATCGATGCTCATGATGTCAATCACTGGATTGTCTGGTTCAGATTCAATTATTTACAAACTGCTGTCATATAGCTGGAATATTGCTGAGTGTGGCGTTAAACAACAAACAAACAAAATGATGGGAGTCTGTGTACGTGCAGTGTCAGGACACCAGACACAAAGGAAATACTGCCCAGCAGTGTGCCTGATGTAGCACAGCTCTAGCAGTGTGCCCGATGTAGCACAGCTCCAGCAGTGTGCCCGATGTAGCACAGCTCCAGCAATGTGCCCGATGTAGCACAGCTCCAGCAATGTGCCCGATGTAGCACAGCTCCAGCAGTGTGCCCGATGTAGCACAGCTCTAGCAGTGTGCCCGATGTGACACAGCTCCAGCAGTGTGCCCGATGTAGCACAGCTCTAGCAGTGTGCCTGATGTAGCACAGCTCCAGCAGTGTGCCCGATGTAACACAGCTCCAGCAGTGTGCCCGATGTAGCACAGCTCCAGCAGTGTGCCTGATGTAGCACAGCTCCAGCAGTGTGCCCGATGTAGCACAGCTCTAGCAGTGTGCCCGATGTAGCACAGCTCCAGCAATGTGCCCGATGTAGCTTAGCTCTAGCAGTTTGCCCGATGTAGCACAGCTCTAGCAGTATGCCCGATGTAGCACAGCTCCAGCAGTGTGCCCGATGTAGCACAGCTCTAGCAGTTTGCTCGATGTAGCACAGCTCTAGCAGTGTGCCCGATGTAGCACAGCTCTAGCAGTGTGCCCGATGTAGCACAGCTCCAGCAGTGTGCCTGATATAGCACAGCTCCAGCAGTGTGCCCCATGTAGCTTAGCTCTAGCAGTTTGCCCGATGTAGCACAGCTCCAGCAGTGTGCCCGATGTAGCACAGCTCTAGCAGTTTGCTCGATGTAGCACAGCTCTAGCAGTGTGCCTGATGTAGCACAGCTCTGGTGCATGGTATTCCAATTGAGGGATGTATAGTTGAACCTTATTGTTTGTTTCTCATTTGTTTTTGACATTGAATCAAAATCACATTGGAAAAAAAGAGGCCAGGATTCTGATACATGCTGGGTCTCTGATACATGCTGGGTCTCCGATACATGCTAGGTCTCAGGTACATGTTGGGTCTCAGGTACATGTTGGGTCTCTGGTACATGCTGGGTCTCTGATACATGCTGGGTCTCAGGTACATGCTGGGTCAATGGTACATGTTGGGTCTCAGGTACATGCTGGGTCAATGGTACATGTTGGGTCTCAGGTACATGCTGGGTCTCTGATACATGCAAGGTCTCTGATACATGCTGGGTCTCCGATACATGCTAGGTCTCAGGTACATGTTGGGTCTCAGGTACATGTTGGGTCTCTGGTACATGCTGGGTCTCTGATACATGCTGGGTCTCAGGTACATGCTGGGTCAATGGTACATGTTGGGTCTCAGGTACATGCTGGGTCAATGGTACATGCTGGGTCTCTGGTACAGGCTAGGCCTTTGGTCATGCTGGGTCTCTGGTACATGTTGGGTCTCTGGTACACGTTGGGTCTCTGGTACATGTTGGGTCTCTGGTACATGCTGGGTCAAGGTACATGTTGGGTCTCAGGTACATGCTTGAATATGGCATTAAACAACAAACAAACACTTGTGTAATAACTGTATTATATATCAAAGTTGTTGTGGGTAGATGGTGTGAAATGTTTGTTTATGTTTGCAGTGGACCAAAGCTCAGCCAGTGAGGTGTCTGAGGATTCGGACGACAGTGATGGAGGACGGGACTTGAACACGTATGCCTGCAGAAAATGCTTCACCACAAGTAAGTCCCGTTCCCTTACTGTGGGTGTTGTAGCTGAATGCATACCGTTCCCTTACTGAGGATGTTGTAGCTGAATGCTAACTGTTCCCTTACTGTGTGGTTGTAGCTGAATGCATACCGTTCCCTTACTGTGTGTTTGTAGCTGAATGCATACCGTTCCCTTACTGTGTGTTTGTAGCTGAATACATACTGTTCCCTAACTGTGTGTTTGTAGCTGAATGCATACTGTTCCCTTACTGTGTGGTTGTAGCTGAATGCATACCGTTCCCTTACTGTGTCTTTGTAGCTGAATGCATACTGTTCCCTTACTGTGTGGTTGTAGCTGAATGCATACCGTTCCCTTACTGAGGATGTTGTAGCTGAATGCTAACTGTTCCCTTACTGTGTGGTTGTAGCTGAATACATACCGTTCCCTTACTGTGTGTTTGTAGCTGAATACATACTGTTCCCTTACTGTGGTTGTAGCTGAATGCTAACTGTTCCCTTACTGTGTGGTTGTAGCTGAATACATACTGTTCCCTTACTGTGTGTTTGTAGCTGAATACATACTGTTCCCTTACTGTGTGTTTGTAGCTGAATACATACTGTTCCCTTACTGTGTGTTTGTAGCTGAATACATACTGTTCCCAAACTGTGGTTGTAGCTGAATACATACTGTTCCCTTACTGTGTGTTTGTAGCTGAATGCATACTGTTCCCTAACTGTGGTTGTAGCTGAATGCATACTGTTCCCTAACTGCTGATGTTGTAGCTGAATTCTAACTGTTCCCTTAATGTGGGTGTAGTTGCTAAATGCATACTGTTCCCTAACTGTGGTTGTAGCTGAATGCATACCGTTCCCTAACTGTTTGTAGCTGAATTCATACTGTTCCCTAACTGCTGATGTTGTAGCTGAATGCTAACTGTTCCCTTAATGTGGGTGTAGTTGCTAAATGCATACTGTTCCCTAACTGTGGTTGTAGCTGAATGCTAACTGTTCCCTTAATGTGGGTGTTGTTGCTAACTGTGGTTGTAGCTGAATGCTAACTGTTCCCTTACTGTGTGGTTGTAGCTGAATGCATACTGTTCCCTTACTGTGGTTGTAGCTGAATGCATACCGTTCCCTAACTGTGGTTGTAGCTGAATGCATACCGTTCCCTAACTGTGGTTGTAGCTGAATGCATACTGTTCCCTTACTGTGGTTGTAGCTGAATGCATACCGTTCCCTAACTGTGGTTGTAGCTGAATACATACTGTTCCCTTACTGTGGTTGTAGCTGAATGCATACTGTTCCCTTACTGTGGTTGTAGCTGAATGCATACTGTTCCCTTACTGTGGTTGTAGCTGAATGCATACTGTTCCCTTACTGTGGTTGTAGCTGAATGCATACTGTTCCCTTACTGTGGTTGTAGCTGAATGGATACTGTTCATTTACTGTGGTTGTAGCTGAATGCATATCTGAGCTCCCTGCCAGGAGTCTGGTAGACTGTGCTGTGTTTAAGCAGATCAAACAGCAGTGCTCGTGATAAGGGCCATGTCAGTGTATGCTTGGCAAGAAAAATTACAGATATGAAGGCAATTAAATTAGAAAGCGTACTAATACAGTCATAAATGAGTAAATATGTCCTCTTAACTTTAAGACGTATCTTTCACATTTAAGAAATAATATCGGTCTTCAAAATATTCATCCCCGATCATATAACACAGGCAAGCTAGCAATCTGTATGTTTGGGTATTCCCTCACTGCGTCATGGGAATCCTGAATCTTAGGCCAATCGTTAAGCAGCTATTGTATTTTCTTTTATTTGATTGGTTAATATTCATCGATTATATACTCTCGCCTTTGGTTGTGACCCAGCTATTTGTCTGAACCAGAGTCACAGGCCTTGAGATATAGTGGGAATTGCCAACTAGGATATCAAACAACACTTGCTTTCAAATGCTAGTAATGTCTTCCCTATCCACAGTGCTACAAACAGCCGATCATGGATTTTCTTTTTTGTTTAGCCAAACTGTTGTAAATATATTTGCATCAGGGAGACGATGTTTTCATCAGAAAGTTGAAGTAATTGATGCACTGTGGATCGGCTGTTTACAGCGTCAGGGCAAAAATAACATGTTTACAGGAGAGTCTGAAATTGAAGATCTGATTCCCAGGCCCAAATACCACAGTGTATGCTGCAATATTTTGGGACTTGGTATTTTGTAAAAGACAAAACTAATCTCTTTTTTAATTCAGATAATGTAAATCTATTGTAGGCTGTTTTTCAGCTGACACTGTTCACGGACAAGATATGACTCATGTTTCAAGGAGAAACAGAATTTGTAAAAAGAAATGCTTAATCCGTTAACAAAAACACATAAAAAGAGAACTATTGGATTTGGAAAATGTCTTGAAGTTTCTCAGCGTCTAAATACCTCTTCTGGTGTTGAGCTGTAATGTGACATTTCTTCGGTGTAGCTTTGTTCCATATTAACAACACTTGACGTAGCTAATTGTGGCATAAGCTGGACCAGCTATTGATCACAAAGTGAAAGTACGCGGTTATCTCAATTGATTTAGTTGGACGTGGGTCTTGAGCTTCATGCAGAGTTTATGTAGAGGAAGATTTAGAGATGGGCCGCCAATACTGATGTGAGAGGTTCTCGGCAGCAGGTTATTGTGGGTGCGATGGGATGGGCTTTGTGCAGATTAAACACTCAGTTAGTGATGTCGCTGTCAAGTCAGGAGCTGGCTGTAATAATGCCAGTATTAGCCTGCCAGATTACACAGGGAAGATGGCCGCCATGGCCGGCCAGGTCGCGCTTCCTCATTACTGAGACATGTTCGGTGTCCGCACAGCTTTTATCACTGCCGTGTTTGAAGAGAACACATTGATTTTTCACATGAGCCAAGTGTCTGTGTCCATTATGAGGAAGATGGCTCACGCAGGAAGACATCGATACAAACAGCACCAGTCACTTGGAGGCAGACCGACAGTGGGGAGCTGGTGCTGGTGGGGTCGACGACAGCCAGAACAGGGTGTTCAGGACATGGTGTTCTGTACATGGTGTTCAGGACATGGTGTTCTGTACATGGTGTTCTGTACATGGTGTTCAGTACATGGTGTTCAGGACATGGTGTTCAGGACATGGTGTTCAGTACATGGTGTTCAGCACATGGTGTTCTGTACATGGTGTTCAGGACATGGTGTTCAGGACATGGTGTTCAGGACATGGTGTTCAGGACATGGTGTTCAGTACATGGTGTTCAGCACATGGTGTTCAGCACATGGTGTTCTGTACATGGTGTTCAGGACATGGTGTTCTGTACAAGGTGTTCTGTACAAGGTGTTCTGTACAAGGTGTTCAGCACATGGTGTTCAGTACATGGTGTTCAGTACATGGTGTTCTGGACATGGTGTTCTGTACATGGTGTTCAGGACATGGTGTTGAGGACATGGTGTTCTGTACAAGGTGTTCAGCACATGGTGTTCAATACAGGGTGTTAAGTACAGGATGAATGGGTTGTGGTCAGTTCAGGATGGAGCACGGCCAGTATAGGGTGTTCCGTACAGGGTCATGGTCAGTGTTCAGACAGACTAGCATAAGTCCTTTCAGTTTTGTGTATCCGCAATACAGAGATCTTGTTGACCCCTGTTCAGGGGTTTCAGGAACCTTCATCTGAGAGAGACGGAGCTGATTGGAGCTGCCAGTGTTTTGAGAATATTGAGTTTACCCAGCTTGTGCCTCGAGAACAGGAACTGGAGACAAGGGTGTTAGAGTCTCATCTACAGAGGAAGTACAATGCAGTATCACACACTCCCACAACTGACTGAACATAGGAAGCTTTGTGGCACTTGTCCATCGGTCTCCTCCCCTCAGAACAAGCTGATGTTATTTACACAGAGAATGGGTGGACATGCATCAACCCCAAACCTTTCAAAACAGAGCTTCTACCCTCGGGAATCCTGAGGGCAAAAGCCAGCGTCGGGGGCTGAGAGACCGGACGGCATTGCTTGCCGCTTGTGACAGCGTGAAGGAGGATCTGCTCTCTCAGTCGGCAGTAACAGCCTCTCTGCGTGCTCCCTGACTGATGCACTACGGCTGCATGTGGCTTTGAGGCTGGCTGCTCAGATGGTGGATTACCCAGAGAACCAATAACTAGCAAAAGAAAACATCATAAACTTCACCGCGGATGAATAGCAATGTCTTGCTCTGTTAGCTGCGTGGTAGTGTTACTGCTCTATAACCCATCCCCTTTTTACGTCGGAGTTGCCGGGTTCAGGAGCTGTGAATATTGACTTGCCGCTGACGACCCTAATTTGATTATTTCAGCAAGATGCTTATGCTAGAGGCAGCTGATTGTACAGGGCCATGCCTTGATGGGCTTGTGGCTGCACATGAAAGCAGGGCCAGATTTGTTTTTGAAGACATAGCAAAGTAGTTAGAGACATTAAGTAATGGCGAGTCGGAGCAGGGTTGTGTCAGTGTTGGACATCTGATACTGCCTACATTACAGAGGCCCACTGTGCAGCTGATGGCCATTTTTGGGTATTTAAGCATCCCGTAAGTGTAGACACCTCCATCTCCCTCCCGCTCCCCATGTTCTTCTCCCCTCCACTGGGCACTCATTAACCAGGCAGGTACTTCTGATGTTGGTTGCCATAGTGATTAGGTTTCTCTCAAGATGTGCTTGGTATCAACACATTATGTTGTCTTCAGAGACCAGTAAACAAACAACTACAGATGAATGTCTTATAAACAACACCTAGATCAATTCCATAAACAACTTGACATATCAGGGGAAGAAACGCTAGTTGACTGATCAGGGAAAGAGATGCTAGTTGACTGATCGGGGAAAGAGACGCTAGTTGACTGATCAGGGAAAGAGACGCCAGTTGACTGATCAGGGAAAGAGATGCTAGTTGACTGTTCAGGGCAAGAGTTGCTAGTTGACTGATCGGGGAAAGAGATGCTAGTTGACTGATCAGGGAAAGAGTCGCTAGTTGACTGATTAGGGAAAGAGACGCTAGTTGACTGATCAGGGAAAGAGTCGCTAGTTGACTGATCGGGGAAAGAGACGCTAGTTGACTGATAGGGGAAAGAGACGCTAGTTGACTGATCGGGGAAAGAGACGCTAGTTGACTGATCGGGGAAAGAGACGCTAGTTGACTGATAGGGGAAAGAGACGCTAGTTGACTGATCGGGGAAAGAGACGCTAGTTGACTGATCAGGGAAAGAGTCGCCAGTTGACTGATCAGGGAAAGAGACGCCAGTTGACTGATCAGGGAAAGAGACGCCAGTTGACTGATCAGGGAAAGAGACGCTAGTTGACTGATCAGGGAAAGAGTCGCCAGTTGACTGATCAGGGAAAGAGTCGCCAGTTGACTGATCAGGGAAAGAGTCGCCAGTTGACTGATCAGGGAAAGAGACGCCAGTTGACTGATCAGGGAAAGAGTCGCCAGTTGACTGATCAGGGAAAGAGTCGCCAGTTGACTGATCAGGGAAAGAGTCGCCAGTTGACTGATCAGGGAAAGAGTCGCCAGTTGACTGATCAGGGAAAGAGATGCTAGTTGACTGATAGGGGAAAGAGTCGCTAGTTGACTGATCAGGGAAAGAGACGCCAGTTGACTGATCAGGGAAAGAGATGCTAGTTGACTGATCAGGGAAAGAGTCGCGAGTTGACTGATCAGGGAAAGAGTCGCTAGTTGACTGATCAGGGAAAGAGTCGCTACTTGACTGATCAGGGAAAGAGTCGCTAGTTGAGATATAGGAGAACGTGACGCTAGTTGACGTATCGGGGAAAGAGATACTACTTGACACAAAGCTTCTTACAATAAGGCTTCTTTGTCTGTTGATATATATAGTTAATACATCTGCTAAGTATATTTGGCTGAATGTATAATTCAATTAAAAAACAACGACAGTGGCACAAAAGGAATATACAGACAAGTGAGTCTTTTGTGGGTATAAAATGAATGTCAATAATGGAGAAATTGATTTGTAAATAAAACATGTACGCAAATACGTTTTCCCAAAGGTTGATTCTATGTGTTGTGAATCTGGTTACCGATACCACCACAGATCGACAAGCTTCTCCCTCGGTGTTGTCAGCGGTTGGATTAATCACTCATTAATATTAAACATTAACGAATCTGCAGTTTTATGTTGAATAGTTAATGTTTCTGACATGCTATCAACGTAGGACATGGCAGGGCTATAGTAGTTCCCACAAGGATACCAGTGGGAGGTTCTCCATCCAGCTGTACATCTGTATTGGTCTCAAACATTCTCATAGCCAGGGTACTAATGGTTCCCATGCACTGTCTTATTTCTGTTCCCATGTTGGCCTGTATGCTTATCATGTCTCCAAGAGACATTGCTGCATATTGGCCAAAATTGCAACAATAAAAAAATAATTAAAAAATAGTTTGAATTTATTTTAATTCACCTGAGTGCTGTATTTTGTACTGATTTGAAAAATAAACAGATATAACTACAAAATGTGAAACAAGCAACTGCCGAACTTAATAACATACGGAATAAAAACATACGGAACTATTATTATTACAAACTAACCAAGCTTATTGTTCAGCAAAATCTCTGAAAATCTTGAAATAGAAGCATTGGGATGTTAAAACAAAGCACTTTAGCCAGTTCTGCTACAGGCTTGAGTGACTGAATAACGTTCTGCCTGCATAGGTCAAAGTTGTCTTTTGCTGCTAAGTGTTCTGCTAATTTCAACCATTATCTGTCTGTCTGTCTGTCTGTCTATTTGGTATGTATCAACCCGATGGCATATGAAGTATTTGGTACAAATCAACTATATGGTATATTGACATATTTGGTTTATATCAACTGTATGGCATATTGACATCTTTGGTATATATCAACTATCTGGCATATTGACATATTTGGTATTTATCAACTATCTAGCATATTGACATATTTGCTATATATCAACTATGAGGAATTTTGACATGTTTGGAATATATAAACTATTTAGTGTATGTGAAGAATTTGGTATATATCAACTATTTGGTGTATGTAAACGATATGGCATATTTGAAGTACCGTATTCGACGTAATAAGCGCCCAGGTGGCTCTCAAAATTAGAAATAGGGGGCTCTTATTAAAATATTATTTTGGTGAAAAAAAACAGAGTTGAAAGTTAAATTTCGTGTTCATGTACGACAGATATATTTTTCCAGAATTTAATTGCCCATGATTAAGGTTGCGTATAACACACTAGTGCGTATCATACGCGAATAAATAAGTATTGTGAACATTGATCAATCGGAAGGGGTGCTAATTGGGATTGTTCACTAGCCAATATATTCGCAAATATCCCCGTGGGCGCTTATTAGTGCTTGGCGGTTATTACGTCGAATACGGTATTTAATATATTTCAACTCTCCTGCACAAGTGTAGTGTTTGATATACACTGACTGTCAGCGTCTGATTGTTGTGCATGATCTGCTTCAGCTTCCAAGGACTGGCACCATGCGGGTAAAGACAAAACCCTCCTGTGCACACAGTGCCGCCTCTTCTTCAAGAAGTATGGGGAGGAGCGGCCCATAGATCGGCCCCGCGAACCCCCGGCATTCCTGTTTAAACCGGTACAGGAAGACGCCAACTGTGACAACATTAACGGCAAACACAACATGAGAACAAGGAGAAGCAACAACGCAGTAAGTTCAAGGACATATTAATTAAGGACGATCATCTTGAAGGACGCTTTTTTTTTTAAGGACATTATGGTCCAAAATTTTTTTATATTTCCAGAATCTACTCTGTGTGTAGTGGTCTGCCATGATGTGTTGTGAAGAGTTGTCTCCCTTGCTACTCGAATCCTCTTTTGGAAAAAAAAATTTGGACCCCAATCACTATAAACCCATTTGTTGTTTCTATTCAAATTAGATGTCAATCGTGTCTTGTTTATTTCTAGACGGGAAATAAAGGAAAGAAGAAAGATAGATTGAGTACAAGTAGCCCAGACATTGTTGACAGCCCAGTCAACGGAGCAAGCACCCAGAAAGGTCGCGTTTCTCCAGGAACAGTTAGCACTTGCAGTAGTAGCAGCAGCACAGATAAAGATAGCAAGAGAAAGTCCACCGTAAGTAGCAGCATGGCTAGTGATAGTGAGAGAAAGTCCACCGTCAGTAGCAGCATGGCTAAAGATAGCAAGAGAAAGTTCCAGTTTAATAGCAGCAAAATAGCAAGAGAAAGTTTGCAGTAAGTAGCAAGAGAAAGTTTGCAGTAAGTAGCAGCATGGCTAAGATAGCAAGAGAAAGTTCCTGTTTAAAAGCAGCAAAATAGCAAGAGAAAGTTTGCAGCAAGTAGCAGCGGTAATGCTATGTTCATTGTGTATGAGTGCTCATCTCTACTGTTACAGAACAAGGATCGATTGTTGAGTGGCAGAAAGCGTCTCAATAACTCAGAGACTGAGGACGGGAAACTTTCAAAGAAAAAGAAACCTCAGGTAATTCAGTCACAAACGACGGATCGTTTCGGACAGGATGTCCTTGATCAAACAATATCCATCCAGTTCCTACAAATCTCTAAATACTGGGGACAGGTCCAGTTTTCTAAGGCACCGCAGTTTGCAATGCAGAGTTGCGTCCCTTGTGCATGCCAGGAACCTATGATCATGAGTTTGAATCCCAGTTATGTTCTTGATTTGTCGGCACCTTAACCGGGCTCGTGGGTTTCCCCAAAGACATGCGTCACATCGGGCTTGCCTTAAGCTGGCACATGGTATAACTGGGATACTGTTCAAAGCAGCATTAAACCCAACTCAGCACATGGAAGACATACAGCTCATTGGGCTCTCTTACCAATATAAGCTGAACTAATATAAGCTGAACTAATATAAGCTGAATTATAATCAGAGGCAAAAGTTATTGTGGCATTGAATTTTTCATTGGTAATCTTGTGAATGAATTTTTGGGTTTGAACCAGAGTAAGAGTGTGTTAAAATAGTCAACGAAATGCAACCATACAGTTATTGATTGTTGTCATACCTTGAAACATTTGTCTTTCCGTGTAATAACATTTCATTCGTGGCAGTAAAGTTTAACACTGATTCTGTTTGTTGTTTGTGTGTCAGAATAACATTGCCTTTGAGTATGATATAAGCTGAAAAATATAACTGATGTGACAGCTGAAAGTAGTGCTAAACTCAACTCACTCACTCAGATTGTTATCAAACTTGTTGTTTCAGGAACGGTCCGACTCCGACTCTCTCTCAGACAGCAGCAGTAACGAGGACGACGAGATCGAGGCTGACGCTGACCTTGAAGAGGTCAATCAGGTGGGTTCAAAGAGGCCATGAAGGACATTATGGCCGACTGACGAATGTACACATATCTTCATCTAAGGCGCCGCGATTCGCTGTGCAGAGTTGCATCCCTTGGGCACGCCAGAAACCTATGATTGTGGGTTTGAATCCTGATTCGCCCCAATTATGTTTCTAGGTTTGTCAGAACCATACCCGTGCTTGTGGGTAATGTCCGAGACCTGCATCACTTCGGACTTTCCTCCCACATTAAGCTGACACGCCGTGATACAACTGGAATACTGTTAAAAGCGGCGTTAAACCAAACTCACTCACTCACTCACTGGAAACTAAGGAATAAAATGGCATCAAAAATAATCTGCGTTAAAATTGCTACGTCCATCTGCTAACTCTCCTGGCCCCCTTTCCACAAAGCAAATAAATGCTAAGGTGATTATAACTCACATATTTTAACATTGGCTTTCGATCATTGTAGCGCTAAGATTCCTTTGTGTAATGAGGCCATTTTTATCAGAGTGAAATATGGGGACCTTGAGGAATCCTGGAATTTATGCAACAAAGGTTCTTTTTTGTGGGTATGTTATTTAAAGAATGTTTCTTCTTTCAGGACGATCTGAGTTCGAGTTCACCGCCGTCAACGCCAAGTCCGATCGACAACGAGGAATTCAAACTGCAGAAGGACTGCATCAAACCGGAACCCCAACACCCAGTGCAATCACCTTCCCATCATCCTTTGCTGTTTCCAACAGTTGGCGAGAATCATATGAATCTACCCCAGCGACAGTCCCCTGTTACCGTGGGCCCGGCCCACCCAGTTCCCCTGGTGCCAGTCCTAGAGGGCACCACCAGTCCACTTCCTGTTTTACAGGAGCCAACGTTGAGGCCGGAGCTGCACCCATCAGCACCATCAGTATCGGCAGTTACGGTGCCGGCCCTCCTCCCCACACAACCATCACTCTCCACGCCCCCAACATCACAATCCCTGGCCCCATCACAACCCCTTCGCTCCACGACACAATCACCTACCACCCCAGTATCACAGCCCCATCCATTCCAACCTGTATATGCCACACCCCTACCCCAGTCACAACCACCCCATCCCCCACCCCTACTGCCGTCCCTGCCCAACACAAACCCCACTCCCCCAGTGCCGGGTTTGATTCCCATCAAGCAGGAGCCAAAGTCACCGCCTCGCGCTCGCACATGGGAAGAGACAATAAACAAGGCAGTTGATAACGGAATCGCCAACCCTAATCAAGCAGACGTCAAACCCCCACCATTCAGCATGAGCATAGACTCACGGATAGACTCGCGGATAGACTCACGGATAGACACTCGTGTAGATTCACGAGTTGATTCTCGCATAGATTCTCGCATAGACTCTCGAATAGATCCTCGGATAGATCCTCGAATTGATCCTAGAATAGATCCTCGAATAGACTCTCATATTGACTCTCGAACAGACTCTCGCATTGATCCTGATAGGGTCAGGATGCAAGTCAAGCTCGAAGACAGGGATGTTCCAAGCTTTCTCCCCTCTGTGCCCGCTCCAGTACGGACGTCAACTCCGAACCCCGCTCCAACCTCCATCCCCGTCCATCCCTCTCAACCAACAATTGAGGGTCCTGGTCTCACCCCAAGTGTTGTGATGGAAACAGAACGACCACCATCCAATGCACAGCCAGAGCCTGAAGTTGTGCAAATCGACCAAGATGATGATGAGAGTGACGATGACCGAACCGGGACCTTAAGCCCTGGCCCCGACCCGACACCTTGTAGTAAGGAGGTTCATCGTAGCAAGGCTGCAATGTAAGGATACACTTATTTCTCACTCCCTATGTAACATTTAGTTATTTAAGATCACTTTGAGGACTGTACCAGCTGACGTTTTATCAACCCAAGAAGGTCCAGGTTAGAATACGTCTTCAGGAACCCATGCTTGTCATGCTGTTATGTGCTGTAGGTACAATGAATATTATTTTGCATACCTCGGGACACAGTGTTTTTTTTTGTGAGACCAATCCCAAAATTTGTGCACACTGGATGCACATTTGTGCATTATGTAAAACCCTGGACATTGGACTTTATTCAGGCCCAAATTTTGTAATTTTTATCACATTTTTATAAAGATTAGAGAACTGGACAGGTGATCAGCCCCCATTCAAAACATCTAAATATTTTGGGAATGATGTGAAGGTGTTGGAAAGGTAAGGAGCTAGTCTAAGGGTTTATTGATAAAAGCGTTAGCACCTGTCAGATGAGCCATTATGTTTGATGCCCGTTCTTGGTTCCTCCAACCCCGAGGATGTTGAGACACAGGCAGCGTCCTTCTCAACCACACCATAGGTAAACCAACTATTTCACTTGTTCCAGATTCATCCAGATCCTTAACCGGGGAGCCAACAACTCCTGTTCCCGATGTGACCTCGTCTTCCGGCCCTTCCCCAACTCCAGCCTGGCCAAAAAGCGAGAGGATCGGGAACGAAAGTCCTCTCAGCCAACACAACCAGCACGAGAGGAGAAGCCAGCGGCAGCAGCAATCAAACGCACGGAAACCCCGCCCAGGTCGCACTCTGTCGAGGCTCACGTCTCCAGCTCGCACTCTCAGTCCACGCCGTACGCAGAGAGACACACACCCCGGTCGTCCCTCTACACGGACACGCCCGCTCTCCGGCAGCTCAGCGAGTACGCTCGCCCTCACGCTATGTCCAGTAAGTTGACAAATGATGCAATATTTAACCAAGTCTTTTTAACATTGTACTGACTTCATCAAGACTGGCAACAAGAAATAAAAAGCAGGGTTGGTAATCTGAGAAAGGGTATTGATTCAACATAGGAATGAGGATAAGGCCTACAAGAGAGAGGGCGGCCGAAATGAAATAAAAAATGCTTTTTAAAAAAACAAAACTATTTGATAACTTTTAAAACTATGAGACACTTGTTACAAATCTTTAAATTAACTTATAAATTATTCATATAATAGATTGAGTCGTTTGCTCTTAATTTTTTTTTTAATAAACATGGCTGGAGAAAAATCATGCTGAGGTGTGAGATCGGAAGATCCGAAAAAAATATGGACAGCCTAAAGATAGATTTGTGTGTTATTGTTGATGTGTTTTTCTGGGCGTGTTATACGAGTGTTATTTGCCTGTTACAGGTCAGGATATTCCCCGCTCAGTGCCCTATACTGTCGGTGGGATGGGGATTCCGCAGCAGATGGATCCCATGATGAGCTACAGACTTGCGATGTATCCCCCTGGATCTCGGGAAAGGTTTATGTAAATTATTGTCACTTTGTGTCGTCCAATCTATTTTTAAAGAATTTTAGTTCTTCGATTGTAGTGAATGTGTAGGATTTTACAGATAAGCTAACCATTACGATTTTGTCCTCCCCGCAAATTATGATAATTCCTTAGAATACCCAACCTCTATTACATCATTGCTATAATCCTGCATTTTGGCTGTCACACCTAAAAAATCTTTGCCTTTTCATCAAGACGTTTTCACTGTCAGCTTTCCATCATCAGTTTCATGGATAATAGTCTTTCACAATATCAGGGGCGGTCGGGTAGCCTAGTGGTTAAAGCGTTTGCTCGTCACGCCGAAGACCCGGGTTCGATTCCCGACATGGGTACAATGTGTGAAGCCCATTTCTGGTGTCCCCCGCCGTGATGTTGCTGGAATATTGCTAAAAGCGGCGTAAAACCATCCCACTCACTCACTCTCTGTTTATATGATGTAGTTGTTATATGGGCTGGGAAAATTGTACTTTTGTACTCAAGAAGTTGCTCTTTCATAATACTGTGAGTGCCACTTGAGTGAAGCAACTGTATGGGACACCCAGGGAAACGCCATGGACCTTATAGTTTCCAGCATGTATGATACACGCATGACCTTGACCTTGACCTTTCAGGCTGGAGCTTGAACTCGAGCGCGACAAGCGGGAACGTGATGCCCGGGAACGAGACCTGCGGGAACGAGAATTAAGGGATATGGAGCTACGAGAAAAAATGAAGGCGGAAATGGAAATGAAACCGCCAGGTACGCCGATGTCCAAACTAGGTATGACTGAAACTAAACAGCCGCTGTGGCCACTTGTGTAACTGCACATCTGCACCAGGTTGCCAGGACAACCCTCTCGCAGCCATCTTGTGTTTGTGATTGTATGTGTGATTTTCATGGTTAGGAAGAATTCAAGTTAGAGTTTGAATTTGAACTTAAACATTTTCTGTTTATTTATTTGTATCCCAGTGGAATATAATCCTGGGGATATAGTCGATGCCTCGTAATCATTTCGTTTCCAGAGCACAAATCAAAAAACGTTCTATAATTTTCAACAAAAATTGGGAGACAGATCATTGGCAGACTGCAAATAGATCCTGAAGTGGTGCCTTTTGCCATTTGACTTTGACTCTGTTCATAATGGTGTATTTATCCGGATTATATCTCTAAAACAAATAGGTTCTAGACAATATGGGGCGGTCGGGTAGCCTAGTGGTTAAAGCGTTCGCTCGTCACTCCGAAGACCTGGGTTCGATTCCTGAAATGGGAACAATGTGGGAAGCCCATTTTGCTGGAATATTGCTTAAAGCGGTGTAAAATCAAACTCACTCACTCACTTTCTTGAAACTGCACACACAAAGACCAGGTTATCCAGGAGCCTTTTGCTGTTTAGGGATTTTTAGAATATATATTTTTTCTGTTTCCATGGCAACAATTTTTATTTTGAATTTGTTCAAAGTGACGTGTTTCTAACATAGAAATACAAAGTTCCAATTCCCAATTCCATGGTGTTGTTTTGATAGTTGGTCTTGTATATGGATGGACATATTAGATAGAATTTCTCTCAAGTTAGACTTGAGTAAGTAAGTAACTGTCAGATGATTTGTTCTTTTGAATTTGTTGGGGGCCGGGGGGATTTGTCATCTTCTGATGACTCTTGTTTCTTCAAGTCTTAAACTTCTCTGTACTAATTCACATCCTCTCAATATTATGTGATAATGCAAGGTTTTCTTTCAAAGAAAAAAGTCATAACTCCAGTCTATGGCATATTGTAAATATAGATGTTTAGTGAGCAGGAAAGTACTGTGGTTACTGTAAGCACATGTGTAATGTGTTGTATTTTCGTCTTGCCAGGGTTGGATCGGCTTGTCCCACACGGAGCGAATCCTCTGGATCCTCATTGGTTGGAATTACAGCGTCGCTATGGTTACCCGCCTGGTGCCCCCCTCGTGCCGGCTCACACAGGTAGCTCTAGCAGCAGCACCCCCCACATACCAGGTGTGTATCCGCCCGCCAGCCTTGCTAGTGACTTGATGGCGCGGGAACGAGAGAAGCTGGATAGACTCGGTGAGTGACAGCGCCCTCTACGTTCCCAGGTCCCACCAAACTACCAGCAAACCATGTTGACATTTGATCAGGGTTGTACTGTACGCTACACGTTCACCAATCTGTCAGGGTCAGAGATCGTAGGGCTGTTAAAGTGATGGAGTATGCGAGTTATGATCACCTTAGCAATATGATTGCTTTGTTGAACGGAACTCTGTTCCACAAAATCTTATTAGAACAATGTCTATCGGGTGGGTGTGATGACAATCGTAACACTACGTCATTGCTAGTCTGTCTCAGAGTGTGGGAGTTATGACAATCGTAACTCTACGTCATTGCTAGTCTGTCTCAGAGTGTGGGAGTTATGACAATCGTAGCTCTACATCAATCATAAGTTTGTGTCAGAGTGAGGGACTTACGACAATCGTGGGAAAGTATGTCTTGTAAATCTATGCTAGACTTGTTGCACTGACATCACTTTGTGGAAAAGGGAGAGCAATTTATATATGTCCGCTGATTCAGAAGTTATATTGTATTTGGAATAAATAAATCTCAAATCAAAATCGGCGTGACTTAGTTGGTGGAATTTTGCGGCAATGGCAACCTGCCTCAGTTCCAAAGACCCTCAAATACAAATTTGAGGCAGATTCAATCCTTCAAGTAAGACACCCTATTCTATTGGTGCAGATATTTTCTCATTTTAGAAACAACTGTATTGAAGAACTGACCGTTGTTTAGTTTGTGTGTGATGTGTTAGTGCTTTGGTACATATCCTTCACTATTTCACCTTGGAAACTTAGCTGTCTAAATTCAAACTATTTGACCAAGGAAGAATGAAATTTCTGTATCTTGATTGCTTGTTCCACTCAGTGTAACATGACGTCATTTGGTCCTGTTTCCCTGATCTAAATTTAAATGAGTGGTGAAAACTCAATTTGCTGGTTGTTGGGTGACAAGATTCATTCAGTTCTAGCTTGGCTGCTGAGGCTTCGCGAAGGCTTCGTTCACTCAAATTGTGCTGCCAACAGGACTTCTGGAGTTACCTCCCTTGTTTACACGTTTCACAATTTGACTGTTCCACTTGTGAAAACATGATTTCACTTTTCAGATATTTATTAAAGACCATGTTCAATTTTGACAACAACTTTGTACAAGCTTGCGCCTTGAATTTGAAAGTTTGCATGAGCATTAGACATATATTAAAAAATATGGTCATTATGACTGAAACATGTGTCTTTGTTAAAAATAAGAAATTATGTGTCTGACAATTCAAGTGTCAGGAAGTGTCCAGATGCCTGTTGGCTTGTCACAGACATTGAAACTTGTTTTATTATTCTTAAAGAAGTTGAAGTGAAAAAAGAATTTATGAAATGAATTATGCCATGTTTAATAATGTTTAAGATTAGAACATTGTCATCGATAGATACAAGGAAAGGTTTTCTTGTCTCGTATAATTCATCAAGTGAGTCTAAGAGTAATGAGAATTTCTTTGTCTTTTCTACCCATTTTACAATTGATTGTGTTTGTGTAAATGTAACACTGCCGTCCTGGTAGCTACCTGGAGCTATTCACACATCCCCAGACGTCCCTACTCCGTCACGGCGCCGTGGGAGAACTTACCCTTTCCTTGTATCTGTTGTCCCGCTGAAGCTGTCCCACGGCCGAGAGGCTTGTCACTCATGTTAGACCTCAGTCGTGTTACAATCGACATCCCTAATATTGTGTAGGCTTCCCACCACACGTCTTTGGAGCCCTCAGTCATCGGGAACAGCTACTTCTTCACAGCGAGATTGAGCGTGCGTCGGCAGCGGAGAGACTTCACGCGGAACGTCTGATGTTGGCTTCGGCAGACCCTGTACTGCGGATGCAGATGGGAGTGGCGGCCGCCAACAATGCAGCAATGCACGCCCACACGCACACACATGCACACTCGCACACGCATCTCCATCTTCACCCTGACAACCCGAACGGAACAACGCCCTCTTCCTCCGGTCTCCATCCTCTCATATCTCCGCATTTATACCCGCCTGTAGCTCCAGGTAAGGCCAACAGATGGCGCTGTGCTTCCTAACAGTCCTTTTTTTCAAATTGTCGTTCCAGATATTCTGCAAACTGATCACATGACTGGGCGAATGATTTACCAATTTTACTCCCAACGCCTCACAAACGAACACATCTACATGCAAAGAGTCACTAACGAGTGTTATCTCCGCGCACAGAAAGATAGGGGCAACGCGGGGGTAGACCCAGCACATTTGGTCTATCAGTTTTCTCGTAAGTGTGGCTAGCAGTCTCCTCACCCTCACTGGCCAATCAACAGTCTGCGTTCGTTCGTTTGTATTTCGTCACTAGGCCCTCCCTTCAACGTATCTCCCAGTGTGTTTGGTTGAAACGTTTTAGTTTGTTTTATTTGGTTGCGCCATTGTTTCTGTTCAGGGCCTGTAAGACACATGGGGGTGATATGATAAAACTGCTATGTGATAACACTTGATATTTCCTGGGTGTGGGATCCGGGAACTGGGGTTTATTCGATATTAACCGTGCATGCCGACATTACCACACTCATTTAGCATGAAGCGTCCAGTCTATTTTGATTTATTTTGACTTTCGTTCAAGATTTTCTGTGATGAGGTGACATGGCCTTGAAAAGCTGTGTTCTTTATTATTTCAAATATTTTGATAATATCGACATTAACTTTAAGCTTTCTAATAATCATTAATCACTTTCCCATAAATGTTATGGTAAAATTATTTATTTTCAAATTTCTCATGTTCATTAATTATAATGTAAAGGAAAAAAACCAATTTGTTTTCTATTGTAACTCTATTGTTATACAATAATTATTGTATTATTTGTTTACAATTTGTATGAATTCTGAGTTATCTGCCCTTGTTGTAGGTGCTGACCCCATGTTGGCTGTTACATGAATACTGAGTTATCTGCCCTTGTTGTAGGTGCTGACCCCATGTCGGGGGTGCCGAGTCAGGCGGCAGTGGCGGCGGCAGCAGCAGCGAGTGGTCAGAATCACGGGTTGCAGTCGTTGCAGCATGGGATCTCTCCCCACGGGATCCTCCCTGGCAGCAGGGAACAGGAGCTGCTCCAGCGAGAGCTGTACAGTCGGGCGTACATGGATCCCACGCTGGCACATCAGGTAGGTCCTGTCGCCATCTTATTGCAATGCACAGGTGTAGGCAATGTAGGGGACATGGGATATGACACGTATTGACTTACCACCATCTTATTGCTGGACACACACTCATGTAGGCAGTGTAGGGGATTTGTGATATGACATGTATTGACCTACACCATCTTATTGCTGGACACACACACATGTAGGCAGTGTAGGGGACATTGGATATGACACGTATTGACCTATCACCAACTTATTGCTGGACACACACACATGTAGGCAGTGTAAGGGACATGGGATATGACACGTATTGACCTACCACCATCTTATTGCTGGACACACACATGTAGGCAGTGTAGAGGACATGGAATATGACACGTATTGACCTACACCATCTTATTACTGGACACACACACATGTAGGCAGTGTAGGGGACATGGGATATGACACGTATTGACCTACACCATCTTATTGCTGGACACACACACATGTAGGCAGTGTAGGGGACATGGGATATGACACGTATTGACCTACCACCATAGGGGCTTGTGGCGTGACACACATTTCTAGATCACCCGAACAAAACAGTTATTTCATTAAAATTCTGACTGATGGTTGTATATTTCAGTATCACACACTGACTGACATGTTGTATATTTCAATATCACACACTGACTGACATGTTGCATATTTCAATATCACACAATGACGTATAATGATATGTTGTATATTTAAATATTAAGCACTGACTGTCATGTTGTATATTTCAAAATCACACGCTGATTGACATGTTGTATATTCCAATATCACACCCTGACTGACATGTTGCATATTTCAATATCACACAATGACGTATAATGATATGTTGTATATTTAAATATTAAGCACTGACTGTCATGTTGTATATTTCAAAACACACGCTGATTGACATGTTGTATATTTCATTATCACACCCTCACTGACATGTGTGTTTGTTGTGTATTTCAGCTGTCGGCAGCCCAGGCGGCGGCTCATCATGATGCTCTACAGAGACAGCTGGCTCTGGAGAGAGATCGCTATGGCAATACTGGCCATCTGCCTCACTGATTGGTTGTCCAGTGAAAATGTCAAAGGTCATTTATCGTATTCAAGGCTGTGGATAATGGAGGTGTGATGATGTGAAAGATACAAGGTGTAATGTGTGACATGTCAGTGTACAAGCTGATATATACACCAGTGCTGATAGTTGTACATTTCAATGTTTATTTCAAGTGGATGGAATAACATAGCATATCAAATACTCGAGTGTGTGTCAGTGCAGAAATCCATCACACCTTGGATATTGTGGGGAAGAATACCGGAATACCCTGGCTGTGATTGTGTATAAGTGTCATATCGTCACGTTGTGTTACGTGTGACAACTCTTGTGAAAGCTACAGACAATGGGTTCTCTGGTCGGATTACTGTCACACTTTGTGCGAGACTCGTGGCAAGGCCACTCAGGTGGTCAGGTGACACATCACATGACAGATCACATGATCTGACAGAACAACGCCAAATCCCTGCGGGACACTGAACGATACAGCTGCAGATGGATGTTTTGTGTATTTATTGATAATAAGCATATCAAACATGCTTACTGGTGCCATTGCATCATCAACAATCAACCCTCCCATCTCCCAGAACAGTTGTCGATCTAAGTCTTGTGACTGGCGACAGGTTGCATGCAACCCGTTGCCTTCACAATCTCATCTGTGTTCATATAGTTACCATAGCAACATTTCTCTTCATTGAAGTCATTGTGTACGTACGTCATCATCATGAAAGGGGAGATAACTCTCTTTAGGACGAGTCATCTCGGGAGGTAGAGCCTACGTGGTCATGTTTGTGGCATATTGTATTGAATGATCAAGGACAAAATATATTCTTTGTGTCTGTTGGAAATATCAAAATGTTATTTATGCAACATTTTTATTTAATTTTTTTAATAGATTTTTTAATAGTTCCCAGTAAGATTAAAGCCAATTCCTATACTAGATATAAGTGTATTGTTATTTGCCCAGCTGGAGTTCAATACATGAAACTTTATGGTATTGTTCTAACTATCTGTGTAGAATGACGAGCTATCATTCCAGCTACAATTGTTATCATACACACATTTACTCGGTGTCCCTGGGTCTATTCGTGTTATTCATAACAAGATCAGTTAGGTGATTAAATAATAAACAGGTTCCCTTTCAGGGAACTTCCAAAATATTATTGCATCATAAAAATTTCAAAAATTGTTTCTCAGGCACTAATAGTTGACAAGTTTTTTTTATTTGAAACAAAGTAACCGAGGGTTTATTTACACTTTTTGTCTGAATACAGAAATAAAATGCTTTCATATTTGAGGAGTGTTTTTTCTGGTATAGGCCACTGCCTGAGAACCCAATTGTTTTGATGTACAAGCAACTGTCAGGACCTACACTCAACTGTGTGGGGAGAATGAGACTCTTGAATCTCATATGGACATCGTGTGATGGTTTTACTCTGAATCACGGGGTTCTATCTACGATCTGTACTCAGCAGACAACACCTACTCAACAGCTCCTCAGATAAAACTTCACAGATTTGGGGAAACATGTTTAAAGAAGCAGTTGTCAGGAACATTGTCTGGAGCTCATTTTCATATATTCATCAAAAACGATGTTCGCCAGCTCTGAAATGTTGTTCAAGTGACTTTCATTCTTTATGTTGGCCTCATTTCACGATCTGAGTTCTGTATGAGGAGTATCTTATCATTTCAAAATCCGATTCCTGTGATGTCATCAAATCTCCTGTACGGTGATGAGTTGTCCCCCTTTGACCACTTATTCTTAGGCAGCAGATAGATTCTCCATTGTTTCAACTCTCTCCTCAAAACCATCAAATTTTACACTGTCGTTGTATGTGTACAATCTTATTTTTATCCCCAAGATGTAAAAAGTTTTGTATAAAGATTTCTTTATAAAGTGTAAATTGCACTCCGATTTTCAACAGAGTGGCTGGTGGTTTAATGTATTGGGGCAACCTTGGCCTCTCGGTCTCACACTCAAGAAAGGTTGCTTTTGGGGTAAAACTGGAAATCAAGAATTGGAGACGAAAGCTACAAAATAATACTGGTGTCCTTCACCACTGAATCATATTGTCTTCCGGTTTGTCATGCGACAGTTTATGAACTTGTACAATTGTATCACACAATAACCAAAGTATTTTTAAGAGTAAAGTTATTTAAGTAGTAAGTTAATGTGACATACAAAAAAAAATAGTGTGACATAATGGAAGCAGTGTCCGTGTGACCCAGCCTAATACTGTGTCTAGAAACTGCTTGTGTGTGAGACGAGATGTCCAGAGTTGCTTCCATCGAGGGGCTCTCTGTACAGTCACGTGACTCTGACGGCGCCCCCTGGTGGCCGACTTCCGTGTACATACTGCATCATTGTGTGAGCACTGCACTGGTCGGTTATAGTGCCAACATCTAGCTCATCAATAAAATTTGCTTCAGTCATTCAGTGTGTCTGTTGTTGGATGAAAATATTGTTCTATAAGCAACAAAGGTATCGGGATTACCATCTTTCTGGCAACTAAGATATCTACCGAGCTGCCAAGGTATCAGATCAAGGTTACCCCATACCTTGCTTCTGAGGTGTCAATCGTTACCCTGTTACTATGTACGAAGATATCAGGCGTTACCCTCTATCTAGCTACAGGTATCAAGCGTTACCCTGTATCTATCTCCGAAGGTATCAGGCGTTACCCTCTACCGAGCTACTAAGGTATCAAGCTTCTAAGGTATCAAGCTTTAACCTGTATCTATCTTCAAAGGTATCGGGTGTTTCCCTCTACCGAACTTCTAAAGTATCAGGCGTTACCATCTACCAAGCAACTAAGGTATCAGGGGTTACCATCTACCTAGCAACTAGGGTATCTGGGGTTACCATCTTCCCAGCAACTAGGGTATCAGGGGTTACCATCTACCTAGCGGGGTAGAATAGGCCTTCAGCAATCCATGCTTGCCGTAAAAGGCGACTTTGCTTGTCGGAAGAGGCGACTAACTTGATTGGGTGGTAAGGCTTGCTGATTTGGTTGATGCATGTCATCGTATCATAGCCTGACCACCCGATCCCATTAGTCGCCTCTAATGACAAGCATAGTCACCTTATACGGCAAGCATGGGTTGCTGAAGACCTATTCTACCCCGGATCTTCACAGGTCCACCCAATTGGGATATGATGACATGCATCCACCAAGTCAGCAGCCTGACCACCTGATCCGGTTAGTCGCCTCTTACAACAACCATAGCCACCTTGTACGGCAAGCATGGGTTGCTGAAGACCTATTCTAACCGGATCTTCACTGTCCGTCCGGTGTAATGCATGTGTACCATCTTGGTGAAAATGAAAGTGTCCATGCAACATCCAGATAGGGGGAGATAACTTGGTATGTGAGATTGCTTGGGAATCCAGGGCCTCCCATTTAACAAACTGACTAAGGAACAAAGTTGCGTGGATGGTGCTAGATTTTTGCTGGATTGAACTTAGCAGTGCAAAGCGATCTTAGCGCTTAGTTGATCGTAACTCCCATACTTTAACATAGGCTTACAACAGTTGTAGCGCTAAGATCGCTTTGTGCAAGTGGGCCCAGTTTGGTTTGGATTACGAACTGGTTCCATCTGGTTCGACACTTAACACCTATATACTCATGTGCAATATCAAATATTTGCTTATTCGGCAAAGAAATTAACCTTCAGCAATTAAACCAATCAGTTTAAACATCAAAAAAGATGCATACCTCGCAAACATCAACATGAACTTTTACAATTGCTGATCACAGACGACAATATACTCCACTCCCTGCACAGCTGTACAAACCTATGAAACCCGGGTTAGAATTGGTCTTCAGCAACCCATGCTTGCCTGCGCGGCGACAAACGGGATCCCATCATTGAAGAGGTGATCGGTAGCTTTGATGTCAGTTTCCAATCAGAGGATGCAGAAGAAATGAGAGTACCAGACCTATCGGAAATTCACGAGGTTGAGCGAGAACTGCGCTCGCGCGGCACTGGATCTCCCCCCAGCTATAAATTTACGCAGATATGTACACAATTACATTTCCAATCTGTTGGTGTAAATTTGACCGCATATATTCAACCGAGTTGAAAAAAGACACTGTTAAGCGTTGTCCGGGATTTTGTTCGGTGTTGAAAAACAGCTAATTTCTCCGCTTTCTGTCGTACACCGATAAAATGTACTGTGCGACGATTGTTTTTATTTAGCAGCTTTACGGGAACTGTAAGCGAACGAAATACTGCCTAATGTCTGAACGACATAAATGTACATCAGATGGGTTTGTATGTTCTTGTATAACGTTATACATTTAATTAAAAAAATAGCTTGCCGTAAATGATTTTCCTCCATGACGTCAAAAGACGACGGATATGTTACACACGTACAAAGAACGGGGGGCATAACTCCGCTGTGTGAAGAACAAGTTCATTTTAACTCAGGTCACTCAGTGAGAATTAGCTGTTGATAAGGACAATATATTTCCGTGATGTTTTGTTAACGGGGAACCAAACTTTTCCAACTCAAATATCCATATTGAAACTGTATATGAACACACAATGCCAGTTAGAATGGGGTTAGAGCGAAAACGGCACCTCAGCAAAACGGCACCTCGACTCCAGCGAAAACGGCACCTTATTTTTTTTTTCCTTGGTCAAATAAATGATATTAAACTTACATTGTAACTTGCAAACGCCAATAATTGTGAGATGTTAAAACAAGTTTACATTAGAAATTAGCCTCTACTCCAACTATAGGATGGAGATGGAGATCTCTCCCTGACCCAAGTACTCTCACAATGTTCGGTTGTACATGGACCAATATTGTGAAGAGCATGATGATGATGATGTTAACGCTGGACATGCCACAAAACTGCATATATGAACATATTTACTGTGAAAACGGGAAATACAATGTAAATACATCACATACATCAAATGACATGTAAATACATCAAATACCCTATTTATTACTACAAAAATCGTTGTTATCGTTCTTAAAAAATAGAGGTGCCGTTTTCGCCCGACTCGTAGTAGCCGTTTACGCCAAATGCGGTGCCGTTTTCGCCAGAGAAATCGGTGACGTTTTGCTGAGGTGCCGTTTTAGCCTGCACCCGTTAGAATGTGGTCAAATGTAACAAATGTAATATTTGGGATAACGCTTTCTTTGTAAAGTACAGATTCTCGTACTTTGGGGGGGGGTTGAGTCCCATCCCGGAAACTATATACGTTAGATGTAAAGCAAAACATAAGAAATGATGGAATCGTCCTTTGCCTAAAATGACAGTGGATGATATCACAGAACAGGGAATTTCCCACAGAATTAAAAACTGTAAAGTGTATTTGTGTGCGTGATGTACATTGAATTACATTCGACTTCAAAGTGAGGTTTGAAGAGGGGGGACATACATATATATAATCCAAATGGCATCCAGGGGGTAAACAACAAACAAACAGAAACAAACAAGGCATGAACCTTGAACCCACACTCTGCTCCTGCACAGCTATACAAGACCACATTTGACCCTAAATCGTTTTATCATCCAAAACTGGCTCCCACAGGAGATATGGCTGCAATGAAATTGCATCACAATGCTTTGCAGACCATTGTGATGTCACTGGTTACCATGACGTCACAATCAAATGACATCACTAATGGCTCTGCTACTGAAGCTGTTAGCAGCACTTTTTACACTGAAGACACTGTCTACAAAGTTGGAAGAATGATGTTGGATGATAAATAAAATCTCACCCTCGTGTCTTTTGATATTGAATATATCAACACTCGTTGATAACGGTGGCAAAAATCCTCGGCAAACCTCGGAAATGTTTCCGCTTTTATCAACTGATATATTTGATATCAAAAGACACTCGGGTGAGATTCTCTATTTATTAAACTTCTACCAACTTACAGATGCGCACGACCACAAGCGTTTGAAGCGCCATAAAATATCATCACTTTAGCTTCATTCCAAAAGGGGCATTCACACGGTACAACAAGTTGAATACAACTTAAGTTCGTGCAACTAATTGCATACACCAAGTTGTATACAACTAGTTGTACCGTGTGAATGCACCTTTATGCTGTCACCCGTGTTTCCTTGTGAGAACATTTCCTTCACAGGCTCACGCAATGCGCTTGAATCATTCTCCGATGGATCAATCAGAGAAGGAGACACCCTAGATAATAGCAAGTTTTATCATATCATGGGTGGGGTTCTCGGCAGGCTAAAAACGATATCCGTCATATGCGGATAGACACAAATACCAAAGGTCAAGTCGGTACTGCTTTCCGTGTTTACAAACAAACATGGCGTCGCCTTGCCATTCGACGATCGATTCAGAATTAACCATCGTCAGTCTGGAAAAAGACCTGCTGGGGTATTAAAACAACAGTTTAATATTCTGAAAATCATTGTCCAACTGTGACGTAGCAAAGGCATTTTACAAGTTTGGGCAAATTGGGAGATATAAATTGCGAAACAATTTAGCGAGGACACCACTGCAGCCAAGGGGAACTGGCGAAGCTGGAAATGATGAGGTAAGTGTGACCAGTGGCGATCAGAGGTGGATAATAGGACTGGGACGAGTCCAAATTAACTACCCGGGTACCCACCCCCCTATTACCCGACCCTATCCGGGTACCCACTGTAGGTCTCAGGAGATGTCTCAAAATGTCCGATTGGGAACATTTTTAGAATAACCCTGGCAAAACGTATTTAGATACATGTATTAAACAACCTGGTCATTCATACACTGAAGTTGAATTAACTTATATCTTTATTCAACCGTATGAAAAATCGGAAAGAATGGGTGCGTAGTCAGAAAGAAATGCGAACATTAGTGACTTGTAGTGTAACCATAGAGTTCTTGATAATTTTTGTCAATAAACAATATATCACGTGATTAACCACAGGTCCGGGTATAGTCCTGTGGGTACCCGGGTTTTACTCAGTACCCACCCGACCCGGGTCCCCAAGTTACCCGTCCCAGTTGGCCTGTCATTGACATGAGGACGATAATAATACAAATTACAAAAGTGAGGCAGTGAAGCCTGCTGCTCCTCTTCAACCCCCACTTTTTTTAAGTCGAATAAAATTCAAAATACATCATGCAAACAGATACACTTCACAGTTTTGAATAATGTGGAAAATTCTCTTTTCTGTGATATCATCCACTGGCAATTTAGGCCAAACAAAAGTTCTGAAAATGACCTCTGAAAATTAGGTGCATTGTAAATGTCGCCATTTTTTATATATTACTAAATCACCACTCACTGCGTTGTTTACAGCATGTTTTGAAATCAAAATTTCGGATATTTACTCGGAGAAATGAATTTAAAAAATAGCATGTTAGTGATGACGGGTATCTGTCTTTTATGAAATCACCAATGATCATTCAAAAACGTCTCCGATAACCCTTAAATCATTTTGAATGTTTTGGAAAATACGCAAACACGAACGCCGAAGTGAACTTTCCGCCATATTGGATAGTGTTTACAAAATCATGTCTCACGTACACCGTTTATGAGAGGCCTATAACATCAAGTATATTATAAACTTAGCTGCGATTAATACACCCTTGAATTCCTCATACATTTTAGAATCAAATGACTAGCCTAATGGTCTTTGTCACCAATGCATAGTGCCTTGATGAAATCTAGCAAGATAAGCATGAAAAGTAAGATGTGAAAACGAACGCTGTGCTTGAAAAACTGCACTTGTTTGAAATGTAAACAAAGCAAAATTCAGATTGTACACAGTGTAGAATTGTAGGAAAAATTAGGGAATATAAAATAGATACATTGCAATGATTTCATATTTTCAACAGAAATTGTCAAAGTTAACGCCCTGTGTGACGCCATGACTGATGCAAAATCATGCACAACGACAACGGTATTTATCAGAATTTCTGACTATTTCCGTTGGTTTCAATGAAAAATATAGCAACAAATAACAGTACATAGATTGTCAGAATGTTTCTAAAAACTTACATGTCACATTTATGTATATACGATCTCTGAATCAACGAAAATCCCCCCCTAAAATCCCAGTACTGTTGACAGAGATCAGGCCATTTTTTAAGAGTCAGTCACCAGTAGTGATGTTATACGTCAACATTGTTGTACATATGTGGTAATTTGTTTGAGGTGGAGGTCCTTGAATGAGAGTGCACACAATCATTGTACCATGCTGTTTACAGTTTCAGTTATGATGTAGATTTTGCATATCTTAATTTCACTTTGGATATTTGTCAATGTTCAAAATGATATCATACGTAAATATAAGCCACAACACGTATGAACAAACCTGTGATAATTTCATGTTTGTTTGAACATTGTTTACATAAGAATTGATAGGTTTATAGTGTCAAATATGATATTACGTAAATGTAACTGCAGCATGTACATATTTCTTTGGGTGTGTAATATATTATAAGTTCATATTACCAATGTCCACAAATGGCCGTTTCATTTTATTTTACAACTAAAACTGAATATATTACTTTATTAAAATGGATAATATTTTTCGTTAAAATATATGCACACATTTCTGAAAAAAAATTCTTGGTCTTAGAATTGTTTTTTATGTCGTTTGATACACGGAACATTGATATCTAACGATTCGCCAGGTGCGCGTTAGTCACAAACAATTTACGAATTATTCCTCTCGTTTTGCATTATATATTCAGTGGGTTCATTCTTTTTTCAATACTGGGATCACAGGATAGTAAACTGTTTACTTTATTTCTCCAGGAACTGTAAAAAGTATATAAATAAAATACCATTGTCGTCTTCCTCCGACGTTATCAAAGACATAAAACTAGCCATGACGTCAAATAGAATGGTGTTATTTTTTTGGCATTTCATTACATTTGATGATAAGGCAAGTGCTCCATTAATAATGGTGCAATATTAGTCAAATTACACTTACACATTCAGGAGAATGTTGGAATGTTAGGACTACGTTATAGGTTAGATAGGGCCATCCATTTCTCTATTACCTCTTTTTATAAAGTACAATCTCATCATTTTTTTATAGCTAAACATATACAGTTTCAATATCCATATTTGTGTTAGAATAGTTTGGTTCCTAGTTAACTAAACACCACGAAAATATAATGTCCTTACCCACAGCTTAGTCTCACTAAGTGACCTGAGTTACAATAAACTAGTGCTAAGCATAGCAGAGTTATGCCCCCTTTTCTTTGTATGTGTGTAACGTCTCTGTCACCTTTTGACGTCATAGAGAAAAATCAATTATTGTCATTTACGGCATGCTATTTTTGGCATTGAATGCATGTCGTTATACATACACATATAACTCCATTTCATATATAGTTATGTTGTTCATATATTTGGCAGTATTTTGTTCGCTAAAAGTTTCCATAAAGCTTCTAAATAAAACAAATCGTCACACAGTACTTTTATCAGTGTACGACTCAGAATAAATTCTCGGGCAACACACAGATGTGTTTTTTTTATAAAAACGGATTAATATTTGCAGTTACATTTACACCATCAAATAGGAAATTTAATATTCTCCACCTCTGATAATTTTTATAGCCAGAGGTATATCCTGTGCCGCGTGAGCGCAATTCTCACACAACCTTCACTTTTCTGATCTTAGGAAAATGTGTGTCAGAAAAAGACTCAACATCCAGAGGGTTAAGTATAGATTCATGTTGGTGGACACTACAGCAATGGGAGGAGTGGGTGTGGGTGTCAGGGCTGGGATGAGTTCAAATTTACTACCCGCGTACCCTTCCCCCTATTACCCTACCCTACCTGGGTACCTGCTGTTGGTCTCAAGATCATATCAGTACACTGTAGATCACATCAGACACTGAAGATCACATCAGACACTGAAGATCACATCAGTTCACTGAAGATCACATCAGACACTGAAGATCACATCAGACACTGAAGATCACATCAGTTCACTGAAGATAGCCTCAGACAATGAAGATCACATCAGTTCACTGAAGATCACATCAGACACTGTACACTGAAGATCACATCAGACACTGAAGATCACATCAGTTCACTGAAGATCACATCAGACACTGAAGATCACACCAGACACTGAAGATCACATCAGTTCACTGAAGATAGCCTCAGACAATGAAGATCACATCAGTTCACTGAAGATCACATCAGACACTGTACACTGAAGATCATATCAGACACTGAAGATCACATCAGACACTGAAGATCACATCAGTACACTGAAGATCACATCAGAAACTGAAGATCACATCAGACACTGAAGATCACATCAGACACTGAAGATCACATCAGACACAGAACATCACATCACTTCACTGAAAATCACATCAGACACTGAAGATCACATCAGACACAGAAGATCACATCGGACACTGAAGATCACATCAGACACAGAAGATCACATCAGACACCAAAGATCACATCAGTAAACTGTACACTGAAGATCACATCGGACACATCAGTACACTGTACACTGAAGATCACATTGGACACTGTACACTGAAGATCACATCAGACACTGAAGATCACATCAGTACACTGAAGATCACATCAGACACTGAAGATCACATCAGACACAGAAGATCACATCAGACACTGAAGATCACATCAGTAAACTGTACACTGAAGATCACATCGGACACTGTACACTGAAGATCATATCAGACACTGAAGATCACATCAGACACTGAAGATCACACCAGTACACTGAAGATCACATCAGACACTGAAGATCACATCAGACACTGAAGATCACATCAGTTCACTGAAGATCACATCAGTAAACTGTACACTGAAGATCACATCAGACACTGAAGATCACATCAGACACAGAAGATCACATCAGTTCACTGAAGATCACATCAGTACACTGTACACTGAAGATCACATTGGACACTGTACACTGAAGATCACATCAGACACTGAAGATCACATCAGTACACTGAAGATCACATCAGTACACTGAAGATCACATCAGACACTGAAGATCACATCAGACACAGAAGATCACATCAGACACTGAAGATCACATCGGACACTGTACACTGAAGATCATATCAGACAATGAAGATCACATCAGACACTGAAGATCACACCAGTACACTGAAGATCACATCAGACACTGAAGATCACATCAGACACAGAAGATCACATCAGTTCACTGAAGATCACACCAGTACACTGTACACTGAAGATCACATTGGACACTGTACACTGAAGATCACATCAGACACTGAAGATCACATCAGTACACGGAAGATCACACCAGTACACTGAAGATCACATCAGACACTGAAGATCACATCAGACACAGAAGATCACATCAGTTCACTGAAGATCACATCAGTAAACTGTACACTGAAGATCACATCGGACACTGTACACTGAAGATCACATTGGACACTGTACACTGAAGATCGCATCAGACACTGAAGATCACATCAGTACACTGAAGATCACATCATACACAGAAGATCACATCAGTTCACTGAAAATCACATCAGTAAACTGTACACTGAAGATCACATCAGACACTGTACACTGAAGACCATATCGGACACTGAAGATGACATCAGACACTGAAGATCACATCAGTACACTGAAGATCACATCAGACACTGAAGATCACATCAGTTCACTGAAGATCACATCAGACACTGAAGATCACATCAGTTCACTGAAGATCACATCAGTTCACTGAAGATCACATCAGACACTGAAGATCACATCAGACACTGAAGATCACATCAGTTCACTAAAGATCACATCAGACACAGATCACATCAGTTCACTGAAGATTACATCAGTAAACTGTACACTGAAGATCACATCGGACACTGTACACTGAAGATCACATTGGACACTGTACACTGAAGATCACATCAGACACTGAAGATCACATCAGTACACTGAAGATCACATCAGACACTGAAGATCACATCAGTTCACTGAAGATCACATCAGTTCACTGAAGATCACATCAGTAAACTGTACACTGAAGATCACATCAGACACTGTACACTGAAGATCACATCAGACACAGAAGATCACATCAGTTCACTGAAGATCACATCAGTAATCTGTACACTGAAGTTCACATCAGACACTGTACACTGAAGATCATATCAGACACTGAAGATCACATCAGACACAGAAGATAACATCAGTTCACTGAAGATCACATCAGTTCACTGAAGATCACATCAGACACTGAAGATCACATCAGTTCACTGAAGATCACATCAGTACACTGAAGATCACATCAGACACTGAAGATCACATCAGTTCACTGAAGATCACATCAGACACTGAAGATCACATCAGACACAGAAGATAACAACAGTTCACTGAAGATCACATCAGTTCACTGAAGATCACATCAGTACACTGAAGATCACATCAGTTCACTGAAGATCACATCAGTACACTGAAGATCACATCAGACACTGAAGATCACATCAGACACAGAAGATCATATCAGTACACTGAAGATCACATCAGACAATGAAGATCCCATCAGACACTCACTGAAGATCACATCAGTTCACTGAAGATCACATCAGACACTGAAGATCACATCAGTACACTGAAGATCACATCAGACTCAGAAGATCACATCAGTACACTGAAGATCACATTAGACACTGAAGATCACATCAGACAATGAAGATCACATCAGACACTCACTGAGATCACATCAGACAATGAAGATCACATTAGACACTCATTGAAGATCACATCAGTTCACTGAAGATCACATCAGTAAACTGTACACTGAAGATCACATCAGACACTGTACACTGAAGATCATATCAGACACTGAAGATCACATCAGACACAGAAGATAACATCAGTTCACTGAAGATCACATCAGTTCACTGAAGATCACATCAGACACTGAAGATCACATCAGTTCACTGAAGATCACATCAGTACACTGAAGATCACATCAGACACTGAAAATCACGTCAGTACACTGAAGATCACATCAGACACTCACTGAAGATCACATCAGTTCACTGAAGATCACATCGGACACTCACTGAAGATCACATCAGTTCACTGAAGATCACATCAGACACTGAAGATCACATCAGACACTCACTGAAGATCACATCAGTTCACTGAAGATCACATCAGACACTCACTGAAGATCACATCAGTGCACTGAAGATCACATCAGACACTGAAGATCATATCAGACATATACTGAAGATCACATCAGTTCACTGAAGATCATATCAGACACTGAAGATCACATCAGTGCACTGAAGATCACATCAGACACTGAAGATCATATCAGACATTCACTGAAGATCACATCAGTTCACTGAAGATCATATCAGACACTGAAGATCACATCAGTACACTGAAGATCACATCAGACACTCACTGAAGATCACATCAGTTCACTGAAGACAATATATCATGTGACTAATCATGGGTCCGGGAGTCCTGTGGGTACTCACCTGATCTGAGTACCCAAGTTACCCGTCCCAGCCCCAGTGGGTGTGGTTGTGCGAGTGCAAGGTGTCGGGTGGTTCAGGTTTAAAGTGAGTGTACAGAGACGGGGTGGTGGTTCTTTCTCATAAGCGACTTGAGACCTGTTCATAAGAACAATGAATGAGTGGGTGGTTATGTGAGTGAGTGAGTGAGTGGGTGGTTATGTGAGTGAGTGGGTGGTTATGTGAGTGAGTGAGTGTATGAGTGGGTGGTTATGTGAGTGAGTGAGTGAATGAGTGGGTGGTTATGTGAGTGAGTGAGTGTATGAGTGGGTGGTTATGTGAGTGAGTGAGTGAATGAGTGGGTGGTTATGTGAGTGAGTGAGTGTATGAGTGGGTGGTTATGTGAGTGAGTGAGTGAATGAGTGGGTGGTTATGTGAGTGAGTGAGTGGGTGGTTATGTGAGTGAGTGAGTGAGTGGGTGGTTATGTGAGTGAGTGAGTGTATGAGTGGGTGGTTATGTGAGTGAGTGAGTGAATGAGTGGGTGGTTATGTGAGTGAGTGAGTGTATGAGTGGGTGGTTATGTGAGTGAGTGAGTGTATGAGTGGGTGGTTATGTGAGTGAGTGAGTGTATGAGTGGGTGGTTATGTGAGTGAGTGGGTAAGTGAGTGAGTGTAAGGTGTAATTATATTTTCCAGAACTTGTTTACCATCAGTCTACACATCATGGGGTTCCAGAAGTAGTTGATGGCACGTTCTGTTAAATCTCTCTGCTTTTCACGGGTTCCCCAAATGAGTAAAATATGGATTGAAATGTCTAGAATATGTCTAAAAGCAGCAAACAAACTCACTCACTCATTCAGAATGATCTGATGAATCAAAATCTGAATACAGTGATTCAAATGAGTGAATCTGATGAATTGAATGACTGAATCAACCAAACTAACTTCTGACTGAATCCAATGTCCCAATCTGCTTAATCAATTGACTGAATCGATAAATCAAGTGAGTGAATCTGATGAATGAAACGACTGAATCCGATGAATCAAATGACTGAATCCGATGAATCAAATGACTGAATCTGATGAATCAAATGACTGAATCCGATGAATCAAATGACTGAAACCAATGACAGGTACCTCTAGCTCTGTTTCAACGCTCATGTCGTATTCTTCCCCTTGTTGGTCAGTTGATTGCTATTTTAACAGATCAAAAACATCTTGATTCTGTTGACAGTCTCGAGCGTGCTATGAAGGGGTTGGGTGGGATACATTCCCTCTTCCTCGTTATACAGCATGGGATACTGGGGCCTTTTATTGCAATCTGCACAGCCTTTACAGGTAGGTTTCTACTGAGTAAACACTTGCTTAAAGCTACACAATGTAAAGTGTACAATGTCACAGATAACTGCCTTTGTGTGTTTTGGTAAAAGACTACAATAGTTTTAACTGATGTCTGACCATTGATTAGTGTGATTTTTGACATCCTTATGTCAGCCTTCGGGCGGCAGATCAACATACTGTCATATTTCCTCACTGTCTTTTTTTTCAGCGTTGTTCAAGATATTCGAGTCTCTCAGTGCTGTGTGTGAGTATACCCTGTGAGACACATATCTATTTTTATCCACGCATGGAATAACCCCAGTTACAGATTACTGTAAGATTACTGATTACAATTTACAATGCAGCGTTCCTTGCTTTGAACTTAGTGGCCCAGTGGTTAAAGCGCTCCCTCGTCACACCGAAAACCCGGTTTGATTCCCAGCATAGGTACAATGTGTGAAGCCCATTTCTGTCCCCCACCCTGATATTGCTGAAATATTGTGAAAAGTGGCATAAAACCACACTCACTCACTCACTCACTGAACTAGATTAGATTATACCTTCAGGTTCTGTAAATCTTCAAATTAGCAGAAATTAAATGTGAAAAATGCGAGTGGTCTTTGTTCGCATTTATGAAACTTCACATTTATATCTCCAAAATGTCTATCAACAATAAGACGGCCTCACTGCAAACTTTGGATAGCGGAAATACAAACATCAATATAAACACAAACACAGTTTATTGAACCACAGTTGTAATAAGTAAATTACAATGTCATTAAAAAAATAGGAACTACACAATAGGCATCCGGTGAGTTATCACTGCTGGGGTCAAGAGTTCTACCCACACATGTCAAACTAGGCATCATTGACCACTCCAATCAGGGAACTGTTGCTGGTTCAATTATTTTATTGCCTTAAGCGGTGCTATTTGCTGTTTGATTGGATTAAGGTTAGGATGTGTATCATTCCACTGGGGATGGGATGAGGGGAGTGGCATTGAATTTCAGTCGCATTTTTGGCTAGGGGTCAGCAGTCGTATTAATTTGGAGACGCATTGATTTGAAGATTTACAGTATCAGGAATAATCTCAGGGTGGGACCTTGTGCTTTTAGCCCCTAGATTTGAAAAAAGACCCACATTTTCGAATGCAATGGGGCATTTTAACATTGTGCTATATGGGCGTACCTCTGGAATATTTGAAATTTCTACATAAAGGGCCCATGTCCGAAAAATCCTAGAGTGAACCCTGCAGTATAGGACCCAACGTAAGTGTTATAGATAAGAACAGCGTTTCTTCTTTCCACTGTTGTCTTGACGCTTTGGTCCGAAGATCCTGTATCTATCTTTGAAGGTATCAGGCGTTACCCTCTACCGAGCTACTAAGGTATCAGGGGTTACCATCTATCTAGGAACTAGGGTATCAGGGGTTACCATCTATCTAGCAACTAGGGTATCAGGGGTTACCATCTACCTAGCAACTAGGGTATCAGGGGTTACCCTCTACCTAGCAACTAGGGTATCTGGGGTTACCATCTTCCTAGCAACTAAGGTATCAGGGGTTACCATCTTCCCAGCAACTAGGGTATCTGGGGTTACCATCTTCCTAGCAACTAGGGTATCAGGGGTTACCATCTTCCTAGCAACTAGGGTATCTGGGGTTACCATCTTCCCAGCGACTAGGGTATCAGGGGTTACCATCTTCCTTGCAACTAGGGTATCAGGGGTTACCATCTTCCTAGCAACTAGGGTATCAGGGGTTACCATCTTCCTAGCAACTAGGGTATCTGGGGTTAGCATCTTCCCAGCAACTAGGGTATCTGGGGTTACCATCTTCCCAGCGACTAGGGTATCAGGGGTTACCATCTTCCTTGCAACTAGGGTATCAGGGGTTACCATCTTCCTAGCAACTAGGGTATCAGGGGTTACCATCTTCCTAGCAACTAGGGTATCTGGGGTTAGCATCTACCTAGCAACTAGGGTATCAGGGTTTAGCATCTAACTAGCAACTAGGGTATCAGGGGTTACCATCTTCCTAGTAACTAGGGTATCTGGGGTTACCATCTAACTAGCAACTAGGGTATCAGGGGTTAGCATCTTCCAAGCAACTAGGGTATCTGGGGTTACCATCTTCCTAGCAACTAGGGTATCTGGGGTTACCATCTACCTAGCAACTAGGGTATCAGGGTTTAGCATCTAACTAGCAACTAGGGTATCAGGGGTTACCATCTTCCTAGTAACTAGGGTATCTGGGGTTACCATCTAACTAGCAACTAGGGTATCAGGGGTTACCATCTTCCAAGCAACTAGGGTATCTGGGGTTACCATCTTCCCAGCAACTAGGGTATCTGGGGTTACCATCCTCCTAGCAACTAGGGTATCTGGGGTTACCATCTTCCCAGCAACTAGGGTATCTGGGGTTACCATCCTCCTAGCAACTAGGGTATCTGTGGTTACCATCTTCCTAGTAACTAGGGTATCAGGGGTTACCATCTTCCTAGCAACTAGGGTGTCTGTGGTTACCATCTTCCTAGTAACTAGGGTATCTGGGGTTACCATCTTCCCAGCAACTAGGGTATCAGGGGTTACCATCTTCCTAGCAACTAGGGTATCAGGGGTTACCATCCTCCTAGCAACTAGGGTATCTGGGGTTACCATCCTCCTAGCAACTAGGGTATCAGGGGTTACCATCTTCCTAGTAACTAGGGTATCAGGGGTTACCATCTTCCTAGTAACTAGGGTGTCTGTGGTTACCATCTTCCTAGTAACTAGGGTATCTGGGGTTACCATCTTCCCAGCAACTAGGGTATCAGGGGTTACCATCTTCCTAGCAACTAGGGTATCAGGGGTTACCATCCTCCTAGCAACTAGGGTATCTGGGGTTACCATCCTCCTAGCAACTAGGGTATCAGGGGTTACCATCCTCCTAGCAACTAGGGTATCAGGGGTTACCATCTTCCTAGTAACTAGGGTATCAGGGGTTACCATCTTCCCAGCAACTAGGGTATCTGGGGTTACCATATTCCCAGCAACTAAGGTATCAGGGGTTACCATCTACCTAGCGGGGTAGAATAGGTCTTCAGCAACCCATGCTTGCCGTTAGAGGCGACTTTAATTGTCATAAGAGGCGACTAACGGGATTGGGTGGTCAGACTAGCTTACTTGGTTGATGCATGTCATCGTATCCCAATTGCATGGATCGATGCTCATGATGTCAATCACTGGATTGTCTGGTCCAGACTCGATTATTTACAGACCGCCGTCATACAGCTGGAATATTGTTGGGTGCGGCATTAAACAAACAAACAAACAAACAAACTTGATGCATCCGAGGTCCAGCTGTACCAGTCTCTCTCTTACTATGTTTACATCATTTGTTTAATCATACTCCTCTTTATCCTCTCCAGTTAACATCTTTAACGTGATTACTGGGAAGAAAAGGCCAGGTCCAAATACTTCACACCATGGTAAGCCGTGTTCTTTTATACACATGTGATCAATATCTATATGAGATTTTAGTTATGCGATATTAATAAAATTTCTGCGATGTTAATCATTTGAGGGGTTGGTCTCAAGTGCTCTGAAATGACAGGAGGTCGCTTTGTGAGATTAATGAGGCTGTCAATGAGTGATTACGGTAATTCGATGCAAATAAGGTGTGTTGGAGTCTGAGTGCGAGACTGTCGGATTTACGGGTCTAAATAGCACTGATTTAATTGGTTCCAGTCATTAGTGTCAGACATGCCGATTGTTGAATTAACGAGTGCCGGATTAACAAGACTTGACTGTATTATGACATCAATGTCAACATATGAGTACAGTAAACTACGTTTATAACGAACATGTTATAACAAACTGATGGATATAACAAACATATTTTTTGTCCCGAACCATTTGCTGTATATATGCTTATACGAAATACGGTTTTAACAAACTAAAATTATTGGTCCTTTTGAGTTCGTTATAACCATAGTTTTCTGTAAATGTCTTATCATTTGTGATTTATTATTATTCTGATAACAGTTGAATGTTTTTGATAAATGACAGACATGATATTCTTGGATTATTATTATTGCAGATCCTTCTCCAAGGGCGGAGGTAAAAGTAGTGGGAAAGACTTCCTCTGGCTATTCGTCTTACGTCCAGACAACCGGTGTGGATGCAGGTAAAGTCTCTGGACCTGCCTTGTGTGTCAGACAACGGGCGTGGACACAGATTAAGTCTCTTGACCTGCCTTGTGTGTCAGACAACCGGCGTGTACGCAGGTAAAGTCTCTTGACCTGCCTTGTGTGTCAGACAACCGGTGTGGAAGCAGGTAAAGTCTCTTGACCTGCCTTGTGTGTCAGACAACCGGTGTGGACACAGGTAAAGTCTCTAGACCTGCCTTGTGTGTCAGACAACCGGCGTGGATGCAGGTAAAGTCTCTTGACCTGCCTTGTGTGTCAGACAACTGGCGTGGATGCAGGTAAAGTCTCTAGACCTGCCTTGTGTGTCAGACAACCGGCGTGGATGCAGGTAAAGTCTCTTGACCTGCCTTGTGTGTCAGACAACCGGCGTGGATGCAGGTAAAGTCTCTTGACCTGCCTTGTGTGTCAGACAACCAGTGTGGACGCAGGTAAAGTCTCTAGACCTGCCTTGTGTGTCAGACAACCGGTGTGGACGCAGGTAAAGTCTTCAGACCTGCCTTGTGTGTCAGACAACCAGTGTGGAAGCAGGTAGAGTCTCTAGATCTGCCTTGTGTGTCAGACAACCAGTGTGGACGCAGGTAAAGTCTCTAGACCTGCCTTGTGTGTCAGACAACCAGTGTGGAAGCAGGTAGAGTCTCTAGACCTGCCTTGTGTGTCAGACAACCAGTGTGGAAGCAGGTAGAGTCTCTAGACCTGCCTTGTGTGTCAGACAACCAGTGTGGACGCAGGTAAAGTCTTCAGACCTGCCTTGTGTGTCAGACAACCGGTGTGGAAGCAGGTAGAGTCTCTAGATCTGCCTGTCTGTCAGACAACCAGTGTGGACGCAGGTAAAGTCTCTAGACCTGCCTTGTGTGTCAGACAACCAGTGTGGAAGCAGGTAGAGTCTCTAGACCTGCCTTGTGTGTCAGACAACCAGTGTGGAAGCAGGTAGAGTCTCTAGACCTGCCTTGTGTGTCAGACAACCAGTGTGGACGCAGGTAAAGTCTCTTGACCTGCCTTGTGTGTCAGACAACCGGCGTGGACACAGATTAAGTCTCTTGACCTGCCTTGTGTGTCAGACAACCAGTGTGGACGCAGGTAAAGTCTCTAGACCTGCCTTGTGTGTCAGACAACCAGTGTGGAAGCAGGTAGAGTCTCTAGACCTGCCTTGTGTGTCAGACAACCAGTGTGGAAGCAGGTAGAGTCTCTAGACCTGCCTTGTGTGTCAGACAACCGGAATGGATGCAGGTAAATTCTCTAGACCTGCCTTGTGTGTCAGAAAAACTACGTGGATGCAGGTAAAGTCACTAGACCTGCCTTGTGTGCCAGACAGACGAAGGGTACTTGGCTCATGTTGTCAACACCACATGTTTATCACATGGAATGATCTGACAACTTGATATTCAAGAACAGGTCATCTAGTCAGGTCATAAGATGAGAAAAACAGGTCATTTGACATATGTAATGTATTGTCTTGCTGTTCTTTGTGTTGAGCCATGGAAACTATATAATATATGTGAGACATTTTGTTTTGCCTGTATTCATGTTAAGAATTATATATTTTCCTAACTTTCTGAGCAGAGGCCGCGTCTGACGTGACGAAGGCGTTGCGAGGAGTTCAGAGGCTGAACACGGTGGGCATCACAAGAGGCAGTGCAGGTACCGTTGTGACGACCGGTATACGGATCAGGTCGACTCAGAACAGGGCAAGAGACCGACTGTTGAGGAGGTCTGGGGCCAACACGGAACAGGCAAGAGACTGACTGTGGTAGACATCTCGGGCCACCACAGAACAGGCAAGAGACTGACTGTGATAGACATCTCGGGCCAACACGGAACAGGGCAAGAGACTGACTGTGGTAGACATCTCTGGGCCACACAGAACAGGGCAGGAGACTTACTGTGATAGACATCTCTGGGCCACACAGAACAGGGCAGGAGACTGACTTTGATAGACATCTCGGGCCAACACGGAACAGGCAAGAGACTGACTGCGGTAGACATCTCGGGCCAACACGGAACAGGGCAAGAGACTGACTGTGGTAGACATCTCGGGCCAACACAAAACAGAGGAAGAGACTGACTGTGATAGACATCTCTGGGCCACACAGAACAGGGCAGGAGACTGACTTTGATAGACATCTCGGGCCAACACGGAACAGGCAAGAGACTGACTGTGGTAGACATCTCGGGCCAACACGGAACAGGGCAAGAGACTGACTGTGGTAGACATCTCTGGGCCACACAGAACAGGGCAAGAGACTGACTTTGATAGACATCTCGGGCCAACACAGAACAGGGCAAGAGACTGACTGTGATAGACATCTCTGGGCCACACAGAACAGGGCAAGAGACTGACTTTGATAGACATCTCGGGCCAACACGGAACAGGGCAAGAGACTGACTGTGGTAGACATCTCGGGCCAACACAGAACAGGGCAAGAGACTGACTGTGGTGACATCTCGGGGCAACACAGAACAGGCAAGAGACTGACTGTGGTAGACATCTCGGGCCAACACGGAACAGGGCAAGAGACTGACTGTGGTAGACATCTCTGGGAAAACACGGAACAGGGCAAGAGACAGATTGTGGTAGACATCTCTGGGCAACACGGAACAGGGCAAGAGACAGACTGTGGTAGACATCTCTGGGCAACACGGTACAGGGCAAGAGACAGACTGTGGTAGACATCTCTGGGCAACACGGAACAGGGCAAGAGACTGACTGTGGTAGACATCTCCGGGCAACACGGAACAGGGCAAGAGACTGACTGTGGTGACATCTCGGGCCAACACAGAACAGGGCAAGAGACTGACTTTGATAGACATCTTCGGGTCTACACAGAACAGAGGCAAGAGACTGACTGTGGTGACATCTCTGGGCCACACAGAACAGAGGCAAGAGACTGACTGTGGTGACATCTCGGGCCAACACGGAACAGGGCAAGAGACTGCCTGTGGTGACATCTCGGGCCAACACGGAACAGAGCAAGAGACTGCCTGGGGCTTCAGAGGACTGTAACGTCAGCTGTGTTTACAAGGATTCCAACCCTAAATGTGTGGGAGTTTGCTCAATTTAATAACCAATGGGCTGCCTGGTCCAGACTCAATTATTTACAGCCAGTCATAATATTGCTGGAATATTGCTGAGTGCGGCGTTCAACAACAAAGAAACAACACAAGGATCAGTCAGTCAGTGATGTCTGTAGCTTCACAACAAGCACAATTGATTTCATCTTCTGTATCAGTTAACATCCACATCATGTATTGGGCATTGATGATAAACACTTTGTCAAAACATCGAACTTACAGTTTGCACCTTATTCAAGTGAATTTTTTTTTTTCTTAGTTAAACTATTTAAAAAAACAATGTCAATTACAAATGAATGTCACTGTTGAGGGAATGTTGCGGTCTACATTAGTGTCTGAATATTGTTTTAATCCACATCAGCAACACGTTAACTAATTGGAGTCCGTGTATCAAATATTTTAATGACTGTTCTACTTTACTGACACCTTGGTATATTAAAGTTATATCCTGGAATAAACAAATCATACTATTTGTTGCGTTTTCTTCTGTTTCCCCTCATGATAACTCCCGACCACATTACAACTGAGTTTTGTATTTGGTGATAACTTGCATGGTATACAACTGACAGTTTGTTGTCAGTGATAACCTGCAAGGAATACAACTGACAGTTTGTTGTCAGTGATAACCTGCAAGGAATACAACTGACACTTTGTTGTTGATGATAACCTGCATGGTATACAACTGATAGTTTGTTGTCAGTGATAACCTGCATGGTATACAACTGACAGTTTGTTGTTGATGATAACCTGCATGGTATACAACTGACAGTTTGTTGTTGATGATAACCTGCATGGTATACAACTGACAGTTTGTTGTCGGTGATAACCTGCATGGTATACAACTGACAGTTTGTTGTCAGTGATAACCTGCATGGTATACAACTGATAGTTTGTTGTCGGTGATAACCTGCATGGTATACAACTGATAGTTTGTTGTTGGTGATAACATACCTGGTATACAACTGGCAGTTTGTTATCGGTGATAACCCACATGGTATACAACTGATAGTTTGTTGTCGGTGATAACGTACATGGTATACAACTGATAGTTTGTTGTCAGTGATAACCAACATGGTATACAACTGATAGTTTGTTGTCGGTGACAACGTACCTTGTATACAACTGACAGTTTGTTGTTGATGATAACATACCTGGTATACAACTGACAGTTTGTTGTTGATGATAACCTGCATGGTATACAACTGACAGTTTGTTGATGATAATGTACATGGTATACAACTGACAGTTTGTTGTCAGTGATAACCTGCATGGTATACAACTGATAGTTTGTTGTTGATGATAACCTGCATGGTATACAACTGATAATCTTTTGGTGATGATAATGTACATGGTATACAACTGATAGTTTGTTGTCAGTGATAACGTACCTTGTATCCAACTGACAGTTTGTTGTTGATGATAACATACCTGGTATACAACTGATAGTTTGTTGTCAGTGATAACCAACATGGTATACAACTGATAGTTTGTTGTTTGGTGATAACGTACCTTGTATACAACTGACAGTTTGTTGATGATAACATACCTGGTATACAACTGACAGTTTGTTGTTGATGATAACCTGCATGGTATACAACTGACAGTTTGTTGTTGATGATAACCTGCATGGTATACAACTGATAGTTTGTTGTCAGTGATAACCTGCATGGTATACAACTGACAGTTTGTTGTTTGGTGATAACCTGCATGGTATACAACTGACACTTTGTTGTTTGGTGATAACCTGCATGGTATACAACTGATAGTTTGTTGTCAGTGATAACCTGCATGGTATACAACTGACACTTTGTTGTTGATGATAACCTGCATGGTATACAACTGATAGTTTGTTGTCAGTGATAACCTGCATGGTATACAACTGACAGTTTGTTGTTGATGATAACCTGCATGGTATACAACTGACAGTTTGTTGTTGGTGATAACCTGCATAGTATACAACTGACAGTTTGTTGTTTGGTGATAACCTGCATGGTATACAAATGACAGTTTGTTGTCAGTGATAACCTGCATGGTATACAACTGATAGTTTGTTGTCAGTGATAACCTGCATGGTATACAACTGACAGTTTGTTGTTGATGATAACCTGCATGGTATACAACTAATAGTTTGTTGTCAGTGATAACCTGCATGGTATACAACTGACAGTTTGTTGTCAGTAATAACCTGCATGGTATACAACTGACAGTTTGTTGTCAGTGATAATCTGCATGGTATACAACTGACAGTTTGTTGTTTGGTGATAACCTGCATGGTATACAACTGACACTTTGTTGTTTGGTGATAACCTGCATGGTATACAACTGATAGTTTGTTGTCAGTGATAACCTGCATGGTATACAACTGACACTTTGTTGTTGATGATAACCTGCATGGTATACAACTGATAGTTTGTTGTCAGTGATAACCTGCATGGTATACAACTGACAGTTTGTTGTTGATGATAACCTGCATGGTATACAACTGACAGTTTGTTGTTGATGATAACCTGCATGGTATACAACTGACAGTTTGTTGTCAGTAATAATCTGCATGGTATACAACTGACAGTTTGTTGTTGGTGATAACCTGCATGGTATACAACTGACAGTTTGTTGTTGATGATAACCTGCATGGTATACAACTGATAGTTTGTTGTCAGTGATAACCTGCATGGTATACAACTGACAGTTTGTTGTTGATGATAACCTGCATGGTATACAACTGACAGTTTGTTGTTGGTGATAACCTGCATGGTATACAACTGACAGTTTGTTGTTGATGATAACCTGCATGGTATACAACTGACAGTTTGTTGTTGATGATAACCTGCATGGTATACAACTGATAGTTTGTTGTCAGTGATAACCTGCATGGTATACAACTGACAGTTTGTTGTTGATGATAACCTGCATGGTATACAACTGATAGTTTGTTGTTGGTGATAACCTGCATGGTATACAACTGATAGTTTGTTGTTGGTGATAACCTGCATGGTATACAACTGACAGTTTGTTGTTGATGATAACCTGCATGGTATACAACTGATAGTTTGTTGTCGGTGATAACCTGCATGGTATACAACTGATAGTTTGTTGTCAGTGATAACCTGCATGGTATACAACTGACAGTTTGTTGTTGGTGATAACCTGCATAGTATACAACTGACAGTTTGTTGTTGATGATAACCTGCATGGTATACAACTGATAGTTTGTTGTCAGTGATAACCTGCATGGTATACAACTGACAGTTTGTTGTTGATGATAACCTGCATGGTATACAACTGACAGTTTGTTGTTGGTGATAACCTGCATAGTATACAACTGATAGTTTGTTGTCGGTGATAACCTGCATGGTATACAACTGATAGTTTGTTGTCAGTGATAACCTGCATGGTATACAACTGATAGTTTGTTGTTGATGATAACCTGCATGGTATACAACTGATAGTTTGTTGTCAGTGATAACCTGCATGGTATACAACTGACAGTTTGTTGTTGATGATAACCTGCATGGTATACAACTGACAGTTTGTTGTTGATGATAACCTGCATAGTATACAACTGACAGTTTGTTGTCGGTGATAACCTGCATGGTATACAACTGATAGTTTGTTGTCAGTGATAACCTGCATGGTATACAACTGACAGTTTGTTGTTGGTGATAACCTGCATAGTATACAACTGACAGTTTGTTGTTGATGATAACCTGCATGGTATACAACTGATAGTTTGTTGTCAGTGATAACCTGCATGGTATACAACTGACAGTTTGTTGTTGATGATAACCTGCATGGTATACAACTGACAGTTTGTTGTCGGTGATAACCTGCATGGTATACAACTGACAGTTTGTTGTTGGTGATAACCTGCATGGTATACAACTGATAGTTTGTTGTCAGTGATAACCTGCATGGTATACAACTGACAGTTTGTTGTTGGTGATAACCTGCATGGTATACAACTGACAGTTTGTTGTTGGTGATAACCTGCATGGTATACAAATGACAGTTTGTTGTTGATGATAACCTGCATGGTATACAACTGACAGTTTGTTGTTGATGATAACCTGCATGGTATACAACTGACAGTTTGTTGTTGATGATAACCTGCATGGTATACAACTGACAGTTTGTTGTTGATGATAACCTGCATGGTATACAACTGACAGTTTGTTGTTGGTGATAACCTGCATAGTATACAACTGACAGTTTGTTGTTTGGTGATAACCTGCATGGTATACAAATGACAGTTTGTTGTCAGTGATAACCTGCATGGTATACAACTGATAGTTTGTTGTCAGTGATAACCTGCATGGTATACAACTGACAGTTTGTTGTTGATGATAACCTGCATGGTATACAACTAATAGTTTGTTGTCAGTGATAACCTGCATGGTATACAACTGACAGTTTGTTGTCAGTAATAACCTGCATGGTATACAACTGACAGTTTGTTGTCAGTGATAATCTGCATGGTATACAACTGACAGTTTGTTGTTTGGTGATAACCTGCATGGTATACAACTGACACTTTGTTGTTTGGTGATAACCTGCATGGTATACAACTGATAGTTTGTTGTCAGTGATAACCTGCATGGTATACAACTGACACTTTGTTGTTGATGATAACCTGCATGGTATACAACTGATAGTTTGTTGTCAGTGATAACCTGCATGGTATACAACTGACAGTTTGTTGTTGATGATAACCTGCATGGTATACAACTGACAGTTTGTTGTTGATGATAACCTGCATGGTATACAACTGACAGTTTGTTGTCAGTAATAATCTGCATGGTATACAACTGACAGTTTGTTGTTGGTGATAACCTGCATGGTATACAACTGACAGTTTGTTGTTGATGATAACCTGCATGGTATACAACTGATAGTTTGTTGTCAGTGATAACCTGCATGGTATACAACTGACAGTTTGTTGTTGATGATAACCTGCATGGTATACAACTGACAGTTTGTTGTTGGTGATAACCTGCATAGTATACAACTGACAGTTTGTTGTTGATGATAACCTGCATGGTATACAACTGACAGTTTGTTGTTGATGATAACCTGCATGGTATACAACTGATAGTTTGTTGTCAGTGATAACCTGCATGGTATACAACTGACAGTTTGTTGTTGATGATAACCTGCATGGTATACAACTGATAGTTTGTTGTTGGTGATAACCTGCATGGTATACAACTGATAGTTTGTTGTTGGTGATAACCTGCATGGTATACAACTGACAGTTTGTTGTTGATGATAACCTGCATGGTATACAACTGATAGTTTGTTGTCGGTGATAACCTGCATGGTATACAACTGATAGTTTGTTGTCAGTGATAACCTGCATGGTATACAACTGACAGTTTGTTGTTGGTGATAACCTGCATAGTATACAACTGACAGTTTGTTGTTGATGATAACCTGCATGGTATACAACTGATAGTTTGTTGTCAGTGATAACCTGCATGGTATACAACTGACAGTTTGTTGTTGATGATAACCTGCATGGTATACAACTGACAGTTTGTTGTTGGTGATAACCTGCATAGTATACAACTGATAGTTTGTTGTCGGTGATAACCTGCATGGTATACAACTGATAGTTTGTTGTCAGTGATAACCTGCATGGTATACAACTGATAGTTTGTTGTTGATGATAACCTGCATGGTATACAACTGATAGTTTGTTGTCAGTGATAACCTGCATGGTATACAACTGACAGTTTGTTGTTGATGATAACCTGCATGGTATACAACTGACAGTTTGTTGTTGATGATAACCTGCATAGTATACAACTGACAGTTTGTTGTCGGTGATAACCTGCATGGTATACAACTGATAGTTTGTTGTCAGTGATAACCTGCATGGTATACAACTGACAGTTTGTTGTTGGTGATAACCTGCATAGTATACAACTGACAGTTTGTTGTTGATGATAACCTGCATGGTATACAACTGATAGTTTGTTGTCAGTGATAACCTGCATGGTATACAACTGACAGTTTGTTGTTGATGATAACCTGCATGGTATACAACTGACAGTTTGTTGTCGGTGATAACCTGCATGGTATACAACTGACAGTTTGTTGTTGGTGATAACCTGCATGGTATACAACTGATAGTTTGTTGTCAGTGATAACCTGCATGGTATACAACTGACAGTTTGTTGTTGGTGATAACCTGCATGGTATACAACTGACAGTTTGTTGTTGGTGATAACCTGCATGGTATACAAATGACAGTTTGTTGTTGATGATAACCTGCATGGTATACAACTGACAGTTTGTTGTTGATGATAACCTGCATGGTATACAACTGACAGTTTGTTGTTGATGATAACCTGCATGGTATACAACTGACACTTTGTTGTTTGGTGATAACCTGCATGGTATCCAACTGACAGTTTGTTGTTGGTGATAACCTGCATGGTATCCAACTGACAGTTTGTTGTTGATGATAACCTGCATTGTATACAACTGACAGTTTGTTGTCAGTGATAACCTGCATGGTATACAACTGACAGTTTGTTGTTTGGTGATAACCTGCATGGTATCCAACTGACAGTTTGTTGTTGATGATAACCTGCATAGTATACAACTGACAGTTTGTTGTCAGTGATAACCTGCATGGTATACAACTGACAGTTTGTTGTTTGGTGATAACCTGCATGGTATACAACTGACAGTTTGTTGTTGGTGATAACCTGCATGGTATACAACTGACAGTTTGTTGTCGGTGATAACCTGCATGGTATACAACTGACAGTTTGTTGTCAGTGATAACCTGCATGGTATACAACTGACAGTTTGTTGTCAGTGATAACCTGCATGGTATACAACTGACAGTTTGTTGTTGATGATAACCTGCATGGTATACAACTGACACTTTGTTGTTTGGTGATAACCTGCATGGTATCCAACTGACAGTTTGTTGTTGGTGATAACCTGCATGGTATACAACTGACACTTTGTTGTTGATGATAACCTGCATGGTATACAACTGACAGTTTGTTGTTGGTGATAACCTGCATGGTATACAACTGACAGTTTGTTGTTGGTGATAACCTGCATGGTATACAACTGACAGTTTGTTGTTGGTGATAACCTGCATGGTATACAACTGACACTTTGTTGTTGATGATAACCTGCATGGTATACAACTGACAGTTTGTTGTTGGTGATAACCTGCATGGTATACAACCGACAGTTTGTTGTTGGTGATAACCTGCATGGTATACAACTGACAGTTTGTTGTTGATGATAACCTGCATGGTATACAACTGACAGTTTGTTGTTGGTGATAACCTGCATGGTATACAACTGATAGTTTGTTGTCAGTGATAACCTGCATGGTATACAACTGACAGTTTGTTGTTGGTGATAACCTGCATGGTATACAACTGACAGTTTGTTGTCAGTGATAACCTGCATGGTATACAACTGACAGTTTGTTGTTGATGATAACCTGCATGGTATACAACTGACAGTTTGTTGTTGGTGATAACCTGCATGGTATACAACTGACAGTTTGTTGTTGGTGATAACCTGCATGGTATACAACTGACAGTTTGTTGTTGGTGATAACCTGCATGGTATACAAATGACAGTTTGTTGTCAGTGATAACCCACATGGTATACAACTGACAGTTTGTTGTTGGTGATAACCTGCATGGTATACAACTGACAGTTTGTTGTTGGTGATAACCTGCATGGTATACAACTGACAGTTTGTTGTTGGTGATATCCTGCATGGTATACAACTGACAGTTTGTTGTCAGTGATAACCTGCATGGTATACAACTGACAGTTTGTTGTTGGTGATAACCTGCATGGTATACAACTGACAGTTTGTTGTTGGTGATTACCTGCATGGTATACAACTGACAGTTTGTTGTCAGTGATAACCTGCATGGTATACAACTGACAGTTTGTTGTTGGTGATAACCTGCATGGTATACAACTGACAGTTTGTTGTTGGTGATTACCTGCATGGTATACAACTGACAGTTTGTTGTCAGTGATAACCTGCATGGTATACAACTGACAGTTTGTTGGTGATAACCTGCATGGTATACAACTGATAGTTTGTTGTCAGTGATAACCTGCATGGTATACAACTGACAGTTTGTTGTTTGGTGATAACCTGCATGGTATACAACTGACAGTTTGTTGGTGATAACCTGCATGGTATACAACTGACAGTTTGTTGTCAGTGATAACCTGCATGGTATACAACTGACAGTTTGTTGTTGGTGATAACCTGCATGGTATACAACTGACAGTTTGTTGTTGATGATAACCTGCATGGTATACAACTGACAGTTTGTTGTTGGTGATAACCTGCATGGTATACAACTGACAGTTTGTTGTTGATGATAACCTGCATGGTATACAACTGACAGTTTGTTGTCAGTGATAACCTGCATGGTATCCAACTGACAGTTTGTTGTCAGTGATAACCTGCATGGTATACAACTGACAGTTTGTTGTTGGTGATAACCTGCATGGTATACAACTGACAGTTTGTTGTTGATGATAACCTGCATGGTATACAACTGACAGTTTGTTGTCAGTGATAACCTGCATGGTATACAACTGACAGTTTGTTGTCAGTGATAACCTGCATGGTATACAACTGACAGTTTGTTGTTGGTGATAACCTGCATGGTATACAACTGACAGTTTGTTGTTGATGATAACCTGCATGGTATACAACTGACAGTTTGTTGTTGATGATAACCTGCATGGTATACAACTGACAGTTTGTTGTTGATGATATCCTGCATGGTATACAACTGACAGTTTGTTGTCAGTGATAACCCACATGGTATACAACTGACAGTTTGTTGTCAGTGATAACCCACATGGTATACAACTGACAGTTTGTTGTTGGTGATAACCTGCATGGTATACAACTGACAGTTTGTTGTTGGTGATAACCTGCATGGTATACAACTGACAGTTTGTTGTCAGTGATAACCTGCATGGTATACAACTGACAGTTTGTTGTCGGTGATAACATACATGGTATACAACTGACAGTTTGTTGTTGGTGATAACCTGCATTGTATACAACTGGCAGTTTGTTGTTGATGATAACCTGCATTGTATACAACTGACAGTTTGTTGTCGGTGATAACCTGCATGGTATACAACTGACAGTTTGTTGTCAGTGATAACCTGCATGGTATACAACTGACAGTTTGTTGTTGATGATATCCTGCATGGTATACAACTGACAGTTTGTTGTCAGTGATAACCCACATGGTATACAACTGACAGTTTGTTGTCAGTGATAACCTGCATGGTATACAACTGACAGTTTGTTGTTGGTGATAACCTGCATGGTATACAACTGATAGTTTGTTGTCGGTGATAACCTGCATTGTATACAACTGATAGTTTGTTGTCGGTGATAACCTGCATGGTATACAACTGACAGTTTGTTGTCAGTGATAACCTGCATGGTATACAACTGACAGTTTGTTGTTTGGTGATAACATCCCTGTTCCTTCTTTATCAAACTATATGTCCTGTATAACATGGCTCATTCGTGCACTCACTTACTCACTTACCCACATACACAATAACCCACCCACCCACCTACATGCAACCACCCACCCACTCACTCACTCATCCACATACACAATTACCCACACACCATCCTACATGCAACCACTCACCCACTCACTCACTCATCCACATACACAATTACCCACACACCCACCCACTCATCCACATACACAATTACCCAAACACCCACCCACTCACTCGCTCATCCACATACACAATTACCCACCCACCCACCTACATGCAACCACCCACTCACTCACTCAGTCATCCACATACACAATTACCCACCCACCCACCTACATGCAACCACCCACTCACTCACTCACTCATCCACATACACAATTACCCACACACCATCCTACATGCAACCACCCACCCACTCACTCACACATCCACATACACAATTACCCACCCACCCACCCACTCACTCGCTCATCCACCCACCGAAATGCACCCACCCACCCACTCACTCGCTTATCCACATACTTAATTACCCACCCACCCACTCACTCACACATCCACATACACAATTACCCACCCACCCACCCACTCACTCGCTCATCCACCCACCGACATGCAACCACCCACCCACTCACTCGCTTATCCACATACACAATTACCCAAACACCCACCCACTCACTCGCTCATCCACATACACAATTACCCACACATCCACCTACATGCAACCACCCACCCACTCACACACTCATCCACATACACAATTACCCACACACCCACACACTCACTCACTCATCCACATTCACCATTACCCACCCACCCACCTACATGCAACCACCCACCCACTCACTCACTTATCCACATACACAATTACCCACACACCCACACACGCACACGCTCACTCCGGTGTTGGATAGATCCGGGGTTGGATAGGCCTCCAGGAACCCATGCTTGAGGTAAAAAGCAACTGTACTTGTCGTAAAAGACGACTAATGGGATCGGGTGGACAGGCTCGATGACTTGTCGTATCCCAATTGCATGGATCGATGCTCATGGTATCTATCACTGGATTGTCTGGTCCAGACTCGATTATTTCCAGACTGCCGTGAAAAAGCTGAGTGCAGAATTAAACAACAAACAACAACTCACTCACAAGGTAGGCAACTGAGGTACAACTTGCTTGTGACGTGGTCAGACCGACGTTGAGCGCCAGTGTATGCGCAATAAAATGTGACGGGAATCGAACCATGGACCTTCTGCTTGGAGGTGGGACACCTTGTCCACGTGAACAAAGACGTTAAGACTTGAACTCCTGACATGAGAGATATCGGAAAAGCGTCTATTGCAATGACCGCCGATAATATTTTATTCCACTTGTTCACATGCGTTATAGGGTACATGGAAATTTAACAAAACGTCTTGATCAGTACTATTCAAGTATTTTACAGGTAAAATAAGATAAATATTATTTGTTGTAGTTGTAACTCTTCTGTCAGGACACTTCTACATGCATAGTTTTTTTTTGCTGTCCACAGGCCGTCATAACATTACATTCTCGAAGAAATGTGAACGGGAGGTCAGTCACTGTGTCACGTGACGCTCATTGGACGTTTTCTGTGCCCTGCAGTGACGAGAGCCGTTTATAGCCGTACAAACAAATGATGGATGGACACACATACCTGTGGTCGATATATTGCTATTGTTCCGTATTATTATTTGAAAGTTATGGCTATGTTTGCTGTCATTCCATAACCAGAAGAATGAAAACAAAACATTTTATTTGTTTGTGGACTGGGACAGGGCAGCTATATAAGTCCCTGACTTTCTACCAAAGCTGCACATTCACTTGACTGACACTCGCTCTTGCACACCATGTTCGCTTCACTACCCGCCCTTGCCATTGTCTTCGCAGTCTACCTGCCGTCGACAGAAGCTCAGAGTAAGTCTTGCACCTCATAGCATTCATATGGGTGTTTGTTTACATGGGTATATGAACATGATTTTGTTCCCAACTCAATCCTTAATAATTCTGTTATAATCTGTGAGTGAGTGAGTGATTTGGGTTTTACGCCGTTTTTAACATTATTCCAGCTGTGCCACGGCGTGTCAGCTTAATGTGGTAGGAAAGCCCGAAGTGATGCACGTCTTAGACGTTTACCACTTCGGTGAAATCCACGAGCACGGGTATGGTGCTGACAAACCTAGAAATATAATGGGGGCGAACCGGGATTCGAACCCACAATCATAGGTTTCTGGCGTGCCCAAGGGACGCATCTCTGCACAGCGAATTGCGGTACCTTAGGCGACAGGGCCACCCGTGCCCCCTATGATCTTTGAGGAGCCTAGTGCTGACCCTGTGAAGATCCGGTGTAGAATAGGTCTTCTGCAACACATACTTGCCGTAAAATGCGACTTACGGGATCAGGTGGTCAGGCTCGCTGACTTGGTTGATGCATGTCATCGTATCCCAATTGCGTGGATCGATGCTCGTGATGTCAAACACTGGATTGTCTGGTCCAGACTCGATTATTTACAGACGATCGTCACATAGATGGAATATTGCAGAGTGTGGCGTTAACAACAAACAAACAAAGTTACATATGTTTGAGGGCAAAAAACATTGCATATTTTCTTGTCTATTTTGATGTTAATTTTAAAAACTGGTAGCCTCACTTGATGGAATGATCGTACGACAGACGTCTTTGTGAAAGCTTTGTCGTCAAGAACCAAAGATGCAAACTGAGTTGAGATTGCCCCTCCTGTCGTTTTCAGCCCGGTGCGACACTGCTGGCTGCCTGAATGGCGTCTGCATCCTGCCTCCAGCTGTTGCTGTCCCCACGTGCAGCTGCATCCCCGGCTTCCAGTTGACCGCTGCCGACCCAAACGTCTGCTTCGGTAAGTCACAGACTTCACCTTCCATTTAAAAAACTGACCAACAAACCCAAACGTCTGCTTCGGTAAGTCACAGACTTCACCTTCCATTTAACAACTGACCAATAACCCAAACGTCTGCTTCAGTTAGTCACAGACTTCACCTTTCCATTTAACAACTGACCAACAAACCCAAAACGTCTGCTTCAGTTAGTCACAGACATCACCTTCCATTTAACAACTGACCAATAACCCAAACGTCTGCTTCAGTTAGTCACAGACTTCACCTTCCATTTAACAACTGACCAACAAACCCAAACGTCTGCTTCAGTTAGTCACAGACTTCACCTTTCCATTTAACAACTGACCAACAAACCCAAACGTCTGCTTCGGTAAGTCACAGACATCACCTTCCATTTAACAACTGACCAACAAACCCAAACGTCTGCTTCAGTTAGTCACAGACTTCACCTTTCCATTTAACAACTGACCAACAAACCCAAAACGTCTGCTTCAGTAAGTCACAGACTCCACCTTTCCATTAAACAACTGACCAAAATATAATACAAAGGAATTACAAGTGGTTTTCAGTTATGAATTTTGTATTGTCAGAAAGTTCCACACAGTGCTTCACACAACCCGTGGTACGTATATGTTTACATGTTGTATTTGCCGACTGGACTTATGATTGGGTGGGTACAAGCTGGGACCTGGTTGTTTGTGTGTCATCTACAATAACGGCCTGGATCGTTGACTTAAACAAGAAAAAGTCGAGATATGGTGTCGAACAACATTACTTAATTCTGTCAACTCAGAATGAATATCACGATGCAGAATATGGATATAATATCGAGGGAAATCTGAAGTCTTCAAACATTTCTGGATAACAGTTTATATTGTTCCTGATGGCATTTGATCCTTCATGCAAGCACGAGACGTCTTGAAGCAATACAGAAGTATTGATCCTTGGATCTACCAACATCGAAGCGCCAATCAAATATTGAAAGAAAGCTGTAGACAAAACATGATTATTTTTGTACTGTTGTATCTGTGGTTCAAGTAGAACTTGCATATTTTGTTGTTGCAGATATTGACGAGTGTTACGGCAACACGTACATCTGTGGGGTGAGTTTTGACCCCTACCTCCGCACCTCTGTCCCCAGCGGGAGGTGTGTCAACACCCCGGCCGGCTCCTATTACTGCATGTGCAACCCCAACGTGGCCCTGTCATCCTTCGACAACAAGACCTGTATATGTAAGTGTCATACGTCCAACACTAGACTGTCTCTCAGTCCCTGGACCATATTATGCTTCCTTCCACCCAGCCCTTACTAACATCTAGTCTCTGAAATGAACATATCGTACAGAAAAAAAACAGTTGTTCAATTATCTTAATAAAAATATAATAAAAGGGAGCCCAGTGACTCTCTTCATTTTCAGATAATGCAGTTATCTAGACTTGCCAAACATTACAGACCTGCATGGGCTGTATTTGATATATATTTGTATCAAGGTCTGTAAGTAAGACAGACTGTCTCAGTCCCTGAACCATATGATGTTTCCTTCCGCTCAGCCCCTATCGGAGATAGATATTTGGCTCCAAATGAGGCAAGTCTGGATTTTCTAAAGGTTCTGAAACTCCCGTCTCAATGGGGCTCCTTTTCATTTTAAATGGAGTTGTTTGTTTCCATCAAATTTATATATTTTCAGTGAGTGAGTAAGTGAGTAAGGTTTTACGCCGCTTTTAGCAATATTCCAGCAATATCACGGCGGGGGACACCAGAAATGGGCTTCACACATTGTACCCATGTCGGGAATCGAACCCGGGTCTTCGGCGTGACGAGCGAACGCTTTAACCACTAGGCTACCCGACCGCCCCCATATATTTTCAGAGTCTAGGCGTTCGTCTCGTTCAACACTTGCATCGCTTTTCGTTGATGTCACTGAAAACAACATTGATCACTACATATTTGGGGTTGGGTCGGGGCGAATGTCCATCCATTAAACACCAGATTCCAGGTGTCAGTTGGCGTGTGTGACAAACACAATGTCAAATACTGCCCGGAATACCAACAAACCAAAACTCTATACCAAAAGGTCGACACAATATAAGCTTATAGCATTGGCACAACATGGTTTTTGATTTGCCCATTTGACCTTTTTTACAGCCATTCCCATTCAACAGCAGCAGCAGCAACAGCAACAGCAGCAGCAGCAGCAACAACAGTCCTTCTACCAAAGCCTTCTCAATCTGTACCTTTTCGACCAGTTTGAACTATTTGATTTTTAACAACAAAATATAAATTCATTCTCAAATGTATATATGTCAATATTTTCATGTAAACTGATATATTCATCTGTCTTTTGAATAAAATGTATGATCAACTAAAAAGATATTGTGATTTGTTTTCATATTGTCTAATCATTGCTTTTGATTGTAACAACAAAGTTGTCCTATGTTGATAATTTATTCTGAATTCGAATCTCATCAAAGCTAAAACGCACAGCCTAAATTCTCTTCAAGGCGTTTCAAGTCGAACTAAAGGCGTGTCATGCATGTCTAAAGCCGTGTCATGTCTAACTAAAGGCGTGCCATGTCTAACTTAAGGCGTGTCGTTTCTTCAGGAACCCATGCTTGCCCCCAAAAAGCGACTGTGCTTGTCGTAAGAAGCGACTAACGGGATCGGATGGTCAGGCTCGCTGACATGGTTGATGCCTGTCATCGTATCCCAATTGCGTGGATCGTTGCTCCTGATGTCAAACACTGGATTGTCTGGTCCAGACTCGATTATTTACAGACCGCCGTCATAAAGCTGGACTATTGCTGAGTGCGGCATTAATCAACAAACAGACAAACACACATTTCCAAGGAAAGTCGTTTCATGTCTAACTCAAGGCGTGTCATGTGCAACAAGAGGCGTGTCATGTGTAACAAAATGCGTGTCATGTCAAACAAAATGCGTGTCTTGTCTAACTAAAGGCGTGCCATGACTGAAGGCGTGTCTTGCCTGAGTAAATGTTGAACGAAAGGCATGTTATGTTTAACTAAATGCGTGACTGTCATGTCTAACGTAACACGTGTCATGTCTAACTAAAGGCGTGTCATGTCTAACTAAAGACGTGTCATATCTAACTAACTTCATTTGTCATGTTTGACTAAACACGTGTTATGTCCAACGGAAGGCGTGTCATGTCTAACTGAACACGAGTCATGTATAACAAAAGGCGTGTCAGGTCTAGCTAAAGGCGTGTCATGTGAAACCAAAGGCATGCCATATTTAACTAAAGATGTGTCATGTCTAACTCAAGGCGTGTCATGTCTAACTAAAGACGTGTCATATCTAACTAACTTCGTGTCTCGTGTTTGACTAAAGGCATGAGTCATGTTTAACTAAAGCGTGTGTCATGTTTGACTTAAGGCATTTCGTGTAACTAAAGACGTGTCACGTTTAAATAAATGCGTGTCATGTCTAACCAAAGGCGTATCATGTCTAACTTAATGCGTGTCACGTTTAACTAAATGTGTGTCATGTCTAATTGAAGGCGTACCACGTTTAACTACAGGCGTGTCATGTCTAACTAAATGCGTGTCATGTCTGACTCAAAACGTGTCATGTCTAACTAAATGCGTGTCATGTTTGACTGAAGGCGTGTGTCATTTCTAACTAATGGCGTGTCATGTGTAACTAAAGGCGTGTCACGTTAAATACATGCGTATCATGTCTAACTAAACACGTGTCATGTCTAACTAATTGCGTGTTATGTCTATCACTCAAGGCGTATCATGTCTAACTAAAGGCGTGTCATGTGTAACTAAAGGCGTGTCACGTTAAATACATGCGTATCATGTCTAACTAAAGACGTGTCATGTCTATCACCCAAGGCGTATCATGTCTAACTCAAGGCGTATCATGTCTAACTAACGGCGTGTCATGTTTGACTGAAGGCGTGTGTCATGTTTAACTAAAGCGTGTGTCATTTTTAACTTAAGGTGTGTTATGTTAAATACATGCGTGTCATGTCTAACTAAAGACGTGTCATGTCTAACTAAATGCATGTCATGTCTAATTAAAGGCGTGTCACGTCTAACTAATGACATGCCATGTGTAACTGAAGGCGTGTCATGTCAGTTCTTCAGTTACTTATAAAGACGTAGAATAATATAATGAGATTTACGATGCTATTCAGTTAGCTATAAGGACGTAGAATTATGTGAGACGTAAGATGATATTCGGTTGTCTATCAATAGTAACGTTTTACAGGTTACACTCAACTTGTCTACAGATGAAGGAGGAAGAGAGAGGAAAGGTGGAAAGCTTGGTGAAGAGTGTGATGAAGAAGGACCGGGGAAAGCAGTCGTAAAATCAGTGATCGGCCGCCACAGTCCCAGCTTCTGAGATGAGGTGAATATTGTTTTACGTCGCTTTTAGCAATATTCCAGTAATATCACAGCGGGGGACACCAGAAATGACCATCACACATTGTACCCATGCGAGGAATCGAACCCCCGTGACGAGCGAACGCTTTAACCACAAGACCACCCAAACGGCCAGCGTGGTGAAGAGAGTTAACGTGTAACTGAAGGCGATGAAGAAGGACTGGAGGAAGCAGTCGTAAAATCAGTAAGTATCAGCCACAGTCCCATCTCCTGAAGACGGGTTGAGGACAATCAGGGATACCCGAGACAAAAAATAAATCCTTAAAAAAACATTTTCACAGCCTCAGCTAGTCCACTAACCCGCGACTTTTTCTGTGATCTCCTACTTTTCGTACATCGTATGTACATATACCTTGCAACAGGCCCCAACTTACTCCCTACTTTTCTCTCATGTCTTGTGTTCTGACGCTTTTGGTTGTTTTCGATTTTCTAAATTTTGAGGCATTGGAATATGTCCAACTTTTCATGCCTATTTCGGGGTAACGGGAGGCTCAGTCGTCTAGGCCGCCGGAATGCACTGTGCAGAGTTGTGTCCCTTAGGCACGCCAGAATACTATGATCGTGGGTTTGAATCCCATATTCACCAAAGTGGTAAACGTCTGAGACCCTGGTTTCATAAGGCACACATGGAAAAGGTGATTTTCAAGGTGAAATGGCCACCATTCGAGTTCAAAACTGTCTGGCACCGTCGTCTCACAGAAGCAACCATGTCCTGAATTGTGGCCTGGGGAATGTTCACCCACTCTGTCTGCAGTGCCTGTGCCAACAGTCGGAGGTTATGCGGTTGTTGCTGACCCACCGCATCACATAAATGTTCCATTGGGATTAACACTGGAGACCTGGAGGGCCATGGCAGGACTTGGATGTTGTGATTCCTGTAAAACGTCAATCTTGTCGTGTGAGGTCGTGCGTTGTCTTGGAAAATGACGTTCGCTTGTTGCATTGCGGAAAGGACGTGTTGCCGGAGAATCTTATCCGTGTAACGTTGTGTCATTAAATTCCCAAGAACTCGTACCAAGTCAGTTCTACCAGTGCAGGAGATGTCTGCCTACATTATCACACTACCACCACCAAATCTGTCCCCTTCCTGGATACTTTTATGTGCATAACGTTCCCCGCGACGCCTGTAAACACGACGTCTGTAGCGACCAGAAGTGGGATACGACCAGAACTGGGATAAACACCGTAGAGAATTATATCTGTCACATGCTAAGTATGTGTTTAATTGACAAACATTTAATAAGAGTAAAATCATCTGCACTTCTTGTGTTTTTTATTTTTACTCCGTTCTGCAAAGAGCGCCAATGGCAGTGCTACTGACTCCATATCCGTCATTTGTAGCTAAATATAGCAGCGCATAAAAGTGATAATGCGGTACTAAAGGGGAATACAATTTCTTCTTTTTATACAGATCGCTAATAAAAAAATGCAATTCCTATAAAAATGGTCGTGTTGCTTATTATCTGTAATTACTACCCATTGCCATGTTTAATTTCTAACCATGATATCACTCCCAAATGTATTATTTGAATGTCTATCATATCATAACCTTCGTGAGGTGGTGACATGTTTAATAATAGAGTAAAGTTTCTGTTAAATAGCTATCTTGGCCACTTCTGAACACAGTGTTTTCCTATGAAATAGCAAAAGCCAAATGAAAATAAAATTATTCTCTAATTTATATATTTTAAAGATGTTATGCCACTCATTGAGGGGATATAAGTGTAATAATACAAGTTCCTAGGATGTTTGTGTTATGCTATTTTTCAAGATTATTTTAATTATTCTTCTCATACACAGAAACACAGGAGGCACATATCAAGGAGTATACAATCATGACATTGTACAATAGGCGATGATGGAGGATATGTACAGTAATATAATTATACTATTATTTTGAATATAAAGTGTCATTAAACATCAAACAGAGAATATGATACACAACAGAGTTAAAAGTGTATGCGCAATAAAATGTGACGGGAATCGAACCATGGACCTTATGCTCGGAGGTGGGACACCTTGTCCACGTGACCAAAGACATTAAGACTGGAACTACTGACATGAGAGATATCGGAAAATCGTCTATTGCAATGACCGCGGATAATATTTTATTCCACTTGTTCACATGCGTTATGGGGTACATGGAAATTTAACAAAACGTCTTGATCAGTACTATTCAATTTTTTTACAGGTAAAATAAGATAAATATTATTTGTTATAGTTGTAACTCTTCTGTCAGGACACTTCAACATGCATAGTTTTTTTGCTGTCCACAGGCCGTCATAACATTACATTCTCGAAGAAATGTGAACGGGAGGTCAGTCACTGTGTCACGTGACGCTCATTGGACGTTTTCTGTGCCCTGCAGTGAAGAGAGACTCATCTCGGCGTTATCACAGCCGTACAAACAAATGATGGATGGACACACATACCTGTGGTCGATAAATTGCTATTGTTCCGTATTATTATTTGAAAGTTATGGCTATGTTTGCTGTCATTCCATAACCAGAAGAATGAAAACAAAACATTTTATTTGTATGTGGACTGGGACAGGGCAGCTATATAAGCCCCTGACTTTCTACCATAGCTGCACATTCACTCGACTGACACTCGCTCTTGCACACCATGTTCGCTTCACTACCCGCCCTTGCCATTGTCTTCGCAGTCTACCTGCCGTCGACAGAAGCTCAGAGTAAGTCTTGCACCTCATAGCATTCATATGGGTGTTTGTTTACATGGGTATATGAACATGATTTTGTTCCCAACTCAATCCTTAATAATTCTGTTATAATCTGTGAGTGAGTGAGTGATTTGGGTTTTACGCCGTTTTTAACATTATTCCAGCTGTGCCACGGCGTGTCAGCTTAATGTGGTAGGAAAGCCCGAAGTGATGCACGTCTTAGACGTTTACCACTTCGGTGAAATCCACGAGCACGGGTATGGTGCTGACAAACCTAGAAATATAATGGGGGCGAACCGGGATTCGAACCCACAATCATAGGTTTCTGGCGTGCCCAAGGGACGCATCTCTGCACAGCGAATTGCGGTACCTTAGGCGACAGGGCCACCCGTGCCCCCTATGATCTTTGAGGAGCCTAGTGCTGACCCTGTGAAGATCCGGTGTAGAATAGGTCTTCTGCAACACATACTTGCCGTAAAATGCGACTTACGGGATCAGGTGGTCAGGCTCGCTGACTTGGTTGATGCATGTCATCGTATCCCAATTGCGTGGATCGATGCTCGTGATGTCAAACACTGGATTGTCTGGTCCAGACTCGATTATTTACAGACGATCGTCACATAGATGGAATATTGCAGAGTGTGGCGTTAACAACAAACAAACAAAGTTACATATGTTTGAGGGCAAAAAACATTGCATATTTTCTTGTCTATTTTGATGTTAATTTTAAAAACTGGTAGCCTCACTTGATGGAATGATCGTACGACAGACGTCTTTGTGAAAGCTTTGTCGTCAAGAACCAAAGATGCAAACTGAGTTGAGATTGCCCCTCCTGTCGTTTTCAGCCCGGTGCGACACTGCTGGCTGCCTGAATGGCGTCTGCATCCTGCCTCCAGCTGTTGCTGTCCCCACGTGCAGCTGCATCCCCGGCTTCCAGTTGACCGCTGCCGACCCAAACGTCTGCTTCGGTAAGTCACAGACTTCACCTTCCATTTAAAAAACTGACCAACAAACCCAAACGTCTGCTTCGGTAAGTCACAGACTTCACCTTCCATTTAACAACTGACCAATAACCCAAACGTCTGCTTCAGTTAGTCACAGACTTCACCTTTCCATTTAACAACTGACCAACAAACCCAAAACGTCTGCTTCAGTTAGTCACAGACATCACCTTCCATTTAACAACTGACCAATAACCCAAACGTCTGCTTCAGTTAGTCACAGACTTCACCTTCCATTTAACAACTGACCAACAAACCCAAACGTCTGCTTCAGTTAGTCACAGACTTCACCTTTCCATTTAACAACTGACCAACAAACCCAAACGTCTGCTTCGGTAAGTCACAGACATCACCTTCCATTTAACAACTGACCAACAAACCCAAACGTCTGCTTCAGTTAGTCACAGACTTCACCTTTCCATTTAACAACTGACCAACAAACCCAAAACGTCTGCTTCAGTAAGTCACAGACTCCACCTTTCCATTAAACAACTGACCAAAATATAATACAAAGGAATTACAAGTGGTTTTCAGTTATGAATTTTGTATTGTCAGAAAGTTCCACACAGTGCTTCACACAACCCGTGGTACGTATATGTTTACATGTTGTATTTGCCGACTGGACTTATGATCGGGTGGGTACAAGCTGGGACCTGGTTGTTTGTGTGTCATCTACAATAACGGCCTGGATCGTTGACTTAAACAAGAAAAAGTCGAGATATGGTGTCGAACAACATTACTTAATTCTGTCAACTCAGAATGAATATCACGATGCAGAATATGGATATAATATCGAGGGAAATCTGAAGTCTTCAAACATTTCTGGATAACAGTTTATATTGTTCCTGATGGCATTTGATCCTTCATGCAAGCACGAGACGTCTTGAAGCAATACAGAAGTATTGATCCTTGGATCTACCAACATCGAAGCGCCAATCAAATATTGAAAGAAAGCTGTAGACAAAACATGATTATTTTTGTACTGTTGTATCTGTGGTTCAAGTAGAACTTGCATATTTTGTTGTTGCAGATATTGACGAGTGTTACGGCAACACGTACATCTGTGGGGTGAGTTTTGACCCCTACCTCCGCACCTCTGTCCCCAGCGGGAGGTGTGTCAACACCCCGGCCGGCTCCTATTACTGTATGTGCAACCCCAACGTGGCCCTGTCATCCTTCGACAACAAGACCTGTATATGTAAGTGTCATACGTCCAACACTAGACTGTCTCTCAGTCCCTGGACCATATTATGCTTCCTTCCACCCAGCCCTTACTAACATCTAGTCTCTGAAATGAACATATCGTACAGAAAAAAAACAGTTGTTCAATTATCTTAATAAAAATATAATAAAAGGGAGCCCAGTGACTCTCTTCATTTTCAGATAATGCAGTTATCTAGACTTGCCAAACATTACAGACCTGCATGGGCTGTATTTGATATATATTTGTATCAAGGTCTGTAAGTAAGACAGACTGTCTCAGTCCCTGAACCATATGATGTTTCCTTCCGCTCAGCCCCTATCGGAGATAGATATTTGGCTCCAAATGAGGCAAGTCTGGATTTTCTAAAGGTTCTGAAACTCCCGTCTCAATGGGGCTCCTTTTCATTTTAAATGGAGTTGTTTGTTTCCATCAAATTTATATATTTTCAGTGAGTGAGTAAGTGAGTAAGGTTTTACGCCGCTTTTAGCAATATTCCAGCAATATCACGGCGGGGGACACCAGAAATGGGCTTCACACATTGTACCCATGTCGGGAATCGAACCCGGGTCTTCGGCGTGACGAGCGAACGCTTTAACCACTAGGCTACCCGACCGCCCCTATATATTTTCAGAGTCTAGGCGTTCGTCTCGTTCAACACTTGCATCGCTTTTCGTTGATGTCACTGAAAACAACATTGATCACTACATATTTGGGGTTGGGTCGGGGCGAATGTCCATCCATTAAACACCAGATTCCAGGTGTCAGTTGGCGTGTGTGACAAACACAATGTCAAATACTGCCCGGAATACCAACAAACCAAAACTCTATACCAAAAGGTCGACACAATATAAGCTTATAGCATAGGCACAACATGGTTTTTGATTTGCCCATTTGACCTTTTTTACAGCCATTCCCATTCAACAGCAGCAGCAGCAACAGCAACAGCAGCAGCAGCAGCAACAACAGTCCTTCTACCAAAGCCTTCTCAATCTGTACCTTTTCGACCAGTTTGAACTATTTGATTTTTAACAACAAAATATAAATTCATTCTCAAATGTATATATGTCAATATTTTCATGTAAACTGATATATTCATCTGTCTTTTGAATAAAATGTATGATCAACTAAAAAGATATTGTGATTTGTTTTCATATTGTCTAATCATTGCTTTTGATTGTAACAACAAAGTTGTCCTATGTTGATAATTTATTCTGAATTCGAATCTCATCAAAGCTAAAACGCACAGCCTAAATTCTCTTCAAGGCGTTTCAAGTCGAACTAAAGGCGTGTCATGCATGTCTAAAGCCGTGTCATGTCTAACTAAAGGCGTGCCATGTCTAACTTAAGGCGTGTCGTTTCTTCAGGAACCCATGCTTGCCCCCAAAAAGCGACTGTGCTTGTCGTAAGAAGCGACTAACGGGATCGGATGGTCAGGCTCGCTGACATGGTTGATGCCTGTCATCGTATCCCAATTGCGTGGATCCTTGCTCCTGATGTCAAACACTGGATTGTCTGGTCCAGACTCGATTATTTACAGACCGCCGTCATAAAGCTGGACTATTGCTGAGTGCGGCATTAATCAACAAACAGACAAACACACATTTCCAAGGAAAGTCGTTTCATGTCTAACTCAAGGCGTGTCATGTGCAACAAGAGGCGTGTCATGTGTAACAAAATGCGTGTCATGTCAAACAAAATGCGTGTCTTGTCTAACTAAAGGCGTGTCATGACTGAAGGCGTGTCTTGCCTGAGTAAATGTTGAACGAAAGGCATGTTATGTTTAACTAAATGCGTGACTGTCATGTCTAACGTAACACGTGTCATGTCTAACTAAAGGCGTGTCATGTCTAACTAAAGACGTGTCATATCTAACTAACTTCATGTGTCATGTTTGACTAAACACGTGTTATGTCCAACGGAAGGCGTGTCATGTCTAACTGAACACGAGTCATGTATAACAAAAGGCGTGTCAGGTCTAGCTAAAGGCGTGTCATGTGAAACCAAAGGCATGCCATATTTAACTAAAGATGTGTCATGTCTAACTCAAGGCGTGTCATGTCTAACTAAAGACGTGTCATATCTAACTAACTTCGTGTCTCGTGTTTGACTAAAGGCATGAGTCATGTTTAACTAAAGCGTGTGTCATGTTTGACTTAAGGCATTTCGTGTAACTAAAGACGTGTCACGTTTAAATAAATGCGTGTCATGTCTAACCAAAGGCGTATCATGTCTAACTTAATGCGTGTCACGTTTAACTAAATGTGTGTCATGTCTAATTGAAGGCGTACCACGTTTAACTACAGGCGTGTCATGTCTAACTAAATGCGTGTCATGTCTGACTCAAAACGTGTCATGTCTTACTAAATGCGTGTCATGTTTGACTGAAGGCGTGTGTCATTTCTAACTAATGGCGTGTCATGTGTAACTAAAGGCGTGTCACGTTAAATACATGCGTATCATGTCTAACTAAAGACGTGTCATGTCTAACTAAATGCGTGTTATGTCTATCACTCAAGGCGTATCATGTCTAACTAAAGGCGTGTCATGTGTAACTAAAGGCGTTTCACGTTAAATACATGCGTATCATGTCTAACTAAAGACGTGTCATGTCTATCACCCAAGGCGTATCATGTCTAACTCAAGGCGTATCATGTCTAACTAACGGCGTGTCATGTTTGACTGAAGGCGTGTGTCATGTTTAACTAAAGCGTGTGTCATTTTTAACTTAAGGTGTGTCATGTTAAATACATGCGTGTCATGTCTAACTAAAGACGTGTCATGTCTAACTAAATGCATGTCATGTCTAATTAAAGGCGTGTCACGTCTAACTGATGACATGTCATGTGTAACTAAAGGCGTGTCATGTCAGTTCTTCAGTTACTTATAAAGACGTAGAATAATATAATGAGATTTACGATGCTATTCAGTTAGCTATAAGGACGTAGAATTATGTGAGACGTAAGATGATATTCGGTTGTCTATCAGTAGTAACGATTTACAGGTTACACTCAACTTGTCTACAGATGAAGGAGGAAGAGAGAGGAAAGGTGGAAAGCTTGGTGAAGAGTGTGATGAAGAAGGACCGGGGAAAGCAGTCGTAAAATCAGTGATCGTCCGCCACAGTCCCAGCTTCTGAGATGAGGTGAATATTGTTTTACGTCGCTTTTAGCAATATTCCAGTAATATCACAGCGGGGGACACCAGAAATGACCATCACACATTGTACCCATGCGAGGAATCGAACCCCCGTGACGAGCGAACGCTTTAACCACAAGACCACCCAAACGGCCAGCGTGGTGAAGAGAGTTAACGTGTAACTGAAGGCGATGAAGAAGGACTGGAGGAAGCAGTCGTAAAATCAGTAAGCATCAGCCACAGTCCCATCTCCTGAAGGCGGGTTGAGGACAATCAGGGATACCCGAGACAAAAAATAAATCCTTAAAAAAACATTTTCACAGCCTCAGCTAGTCCACTAACCCGCGACTTTTTCTGTGATCTCCTACTTTTCCTACATCGTATGTACATATACCTTGCAACAGGCCCCAACTTACTCCCTACTTTTCTCTCATGTCTTGTGTTCTGACGCTTTTGGTTGTTTTCGATTTTCTAAATTTTGAGGCATTGGAATATGTCCAACTTTTCATGCCTATTTAGGGGTAACGGGAGGCTCAGTCGTCTAGGCCGCCGGAATGCACTGTGCAGAGTTGTGTCCCTTAGGCACGCCAGAATACTATGATCGTGGGTTTGAATCCCATATTCACCAAAGTGGTAAACGTCTGAGACCCTGGTTTCATAAGGCACACATGGAAAAGGTGATTTTCAAGGTGAAGGTTCTCTGTTCTCAATATCTTGTATGGCCACCATTCGAGTTCAAAACTGTCTGGCACCGTCGTCTCACAGAAGCAACCATGTCCTGAATTGTGGCCTGGGGAATGTTCACCCACTCTGTCTGCAGTGCCTGTGCCAACAGTCGGAGGTTATGCGGTTGTTGCTGACCCACCGCATCACATAAATGTTCCATTGGGATTAAAACTGGAGACCTGGAGGGCTATGGCAGGACTTGGATGTTGTGATTCCTGTAAAAGTCAATCTTGTCGTGTGAGGTCGTGCGTTGTCTTGGAAATTTCTTCTTTTTATACAGATCGCTAATAAACAAATGCAATTCCTATAAAAATGGTCGTGTTGCTTATTATCTGTAATTACTACCCATTGCCATGTTTAATTTCTAACCATGATATCACTCCCAAATGTATTATTTGAATGTCTATCATATCATAACCTTCGTGAGGTGGTGACATGTTTAATAATAGAGTAAAGTTTCTGTTAAATAGCTATCTTGGCCACTTCTGAACACAGTGTTTTCCTATGAAATAGCAAAAGCCAAATGAAAATAAAATTATTCTCTAATTTATATATTTTAAAGATGTTATGCCACTCATTGAGGGGATATAAGTGTAATAATACAAGTTCCTAGGATGTTTGTGTTATGCTATTTTTCAAGATTATTTTAATTATTCTTCTCATACACAGAAACACAGGAGGCACATATCTAGGAGTATACAATCATGACATTGTACAATAGGCGATGATGGAGGATATGTACAGTAATATAATTATACTATTATTTTGAATATTACCGAGTGTGTCATTAAACATCAAACAGAGAATATGATACACAACAGAGTTAAAAGTGTATGCGCAATAAAATGTGACGGGAATCGAACCATGGACCTTATGCTCGGAGGTGGGACACCTTGTCCACGTGACCAAAGACATTAAGACTGGAACTACTGACATGAGAGATATCGGAAAATCGTCTATTGCAATGACCGCGGATAATATTTTATTCCACTTGTTCACATGCGTTATGGGGTACATGGAAATTTAACAAAACGTCTTGATCAGTACTATTCAATTTTTTTACAGGTAAAATAAGATAAATATTATTTGTTATAGTTGTAACTCTTCTGTCAGGACACTTCAACATGCATAGTTTTTTTGCTGTCCACAGGCCGTCATAACATTACATTCTCGAAGAAATGTGAACGGGAGGTCAGTCACTGTGTCACGTGACGCTCATTGGACGTTTTCTGTGCCCTGCAGTGAAGAGAGACTCATCTCGGCGTTATCACAGCCGTACAAACAAATGATGGATGGACACACATACCTGTGGTCGATATATTGCTATTGTTCCGTATTATTATTTGAAAGTTATGGCTATGTTTGCTGTCATTCCATAACCAGAAGAATGAAAACAAAACATTTTATTTGTATGTGGACTGGGACAGGGCAGCTATATAAGCCCCTGACTTTCTACCATAGCTGCACATTCACTCGACTGACACTCGCTCTTGCACACCATGTTCGCTTCACTACCCGCCCTTGCCATTGTCTTCGCAGTCTACTTGCCGTCGACAGAAGCTCAGAGTAAGTCAACGTCTTGCACCTCATAGCATTCATATGGGTGTTTGTTTACATGGGTATATGAACATGATTTTGTTCCCAACTCAATCCTTAATAATTCTGTTATAATCTGTGAGTGAGTGAGTGATTTGGGTTTTACGCCGTTTTTAACATTATTCCAGCTGTGCCACGGCGTGTCAGCTTAATGTGGTAGGAAAGCCCGAAGTGATGCACGTCTTAGACGTTTACCACTTCGGTGAAATCCACGAGCACGGGTATGGTGCTGACAAACCTAGAAATATAATGGGGGCGAACCGGGATTCGAACCCACAATCATAGGTTTCTGGCGTGCCCAAGGGACGCATCTCTGCACAGCGAATTGCGGTACCTATGCTCTTTGAGGAGTCTAGTGCTGACCCTGTGAAGATCCGGTGTAGAATAGGTCTTCTGCAACACATACTTGCCGTAAAATGCGACTTACGGGATCAGGTGGTCAGGCTCGCTGACTTGGTTGATGCATGTCATCGTATCCCAATTGCGTGGATCGATGCTCGTGATGTCAATCACTGGATTGTCTGGTCCAGACTCGATTATTTACAGACGATCGTCACATAGATGGAATATTGCAGAGTGTGGCGTTAACAACAAACAAACAAAGTTACATATGTTTGAGGGCAAAAAACATTGCATATTTTCTTGTCTATTTTGATGTTAATTTAAAAACTGGT